TTTTTCTAGTCTTATACAGTTGATGCATATGTGAAGGTTCACCAATTATTTTGGCCTTTATATATATACTTTTATGCATAGAAGTTTTTTTTTTTTTTTCTGCATAGAAGTTATATCCGAGTACTCCCCTCTTATCAATCTCCTATGTTATATATTAATTCTCTATACGATCCGGTGATCACTGATCAGTCCAACTAATATTCGTCACGAAACTACGTACATATGTAACCAAGGTGTTGGGGCCTAGTATATTGGACGATATTGTTTGTATTTTGAGTGTGAGTGTCGTCTCTATAATGTCCATACGCTACATGGAAATTTCATTAACCATCGATGATCGTATAACTCTTTCGATAATGTTATCTTTAATTTATATAGTATGTGACATGTCAACTTGTCTAGGAACAATCTCGTATGAAGGGATAATAATTATCTGTTGTTTTATTTTGTATGTTAACACGATCAATGGACTAAAACTAGTGTGGAAGGAGCTGGTGAAAACCAACAAGGAGTTCTTCGAGACGTACGAGCGGAAGCGCGCACATGAAAAATGTGTCAATGCCGGAAAAAGAGACAAACAAGATGATCCAGAAGATCATCTCTGATTCATCAGACGACTAAAATATTTTAATCACTCATCCAGTTCTATTCCATATTCCATATGCATATTTTAATCACTAAGATGATCCTTCTTCAAATTAAACAACCTCTCTAAGATGATATGTATTTACACTGATATATGTAAATCTTTTTGTCTTTTTTTTTTCTATCTGCGTCAGTCCAACAATAAAGACATAAAAACTGAGAGCGATATTGGTGATCCTTTTTTCCGAACGTAAATACTCTTAAAGCATCTTTAACGCAGAGATTGTTGTCCGTCTCTTAAATTTTTTTTTTTTTTTTTATGGTTTATCTGATTTTTTTTATAAAAAAATTAAAAAGAATCAATTGCGAACCGCCACGTACCGTGGAGTCCGCAAAACAGTGCGAAAAACTCACAGTATATGTCTGTTATTCTGGGACAGCAGACATTAAAGATACTCTTATCTCTATATAAGACCATGTGCAACAGCAATACTTAGGAAAAAAAAAGGATATTTCAAATTATATAAGGATAGTTCAATTTTTTTTTTTTTTTTTTAAAAAGTGACCATTCGAGTACCGCCACGTGTGTAGTAGAGTCCGCGAATAGTGCAAGGATCAATCCTTCAATAAGGATTTTAAATATTGAATTTTAAAGATAGAATCTTTAATTATTCATGGAACCCAATAATTATAAAATTAATATTTTCCTAATGACTCCCTTAAGGATTGCCTATTGCATATGCTCTTATAAATTGATTGATAAATTTTCCATTGCCCCCGACAAAACTTTTGTTTGGCTTCGCCACTGGTTAAAACTCTTATGAAACTGAAGTCAGTCTAGGGATAAAATGAGTTTCTATAAAAAGGTTAGTCCCAGCCCGCATTAAAAAATTTAGCCCCAAACCCGCACTTTACTATTCGGGCCCAAATAAGGCCGCCTATCTTTGGTACTTGGGTTTTATTAGGGTTAATTTTTCTTTTTTTTCTTTTTTGCCGCAAACAGAAGAGACATCGTTTTCTTCTCATCGAAGGGGTTTGCAGTTTCTTTTGGGTTAGTTCTGAACCGAAATAATCTTCTTATGGGTTTCCTCTGAGGCGTTGAAGACGAAGACGTAATCGAGAAGTGGACCTTTGATCTAACTCAAGGTTTGAATGATTTATTTGATTACTTACTAGATGTAGAGTAAGTAACTAGTAGTAAGCAATTTAAACTAAAGCGGCAAGGTTTAAACTTCAAGTCACCATTTTCTTATAGGAAAATTGTGGTTACAGAAATCTAAGGGATTAGCTTTGATGGGAACCATAGACCTTAGGGCTGCTGCTGCAGCAGATGAAACCTCCATTGCTGATCTCAGTGGTCAAGTTCACCAGCTTCCTTGCTGCATTAGATTCGACGGTCCTACTCAAGTTTCCAACTATTTCAAGCCTAATTCCAGTGGTAACAGAAACATAATATTGTGTACATTGTGATTCTGTTTTTTTTTTGTTGTAATACGGAGAGATTACTGTGGATTGTAGAGGTGGAAGTTGATGGAGTTAGAACGGAAGAAGCTCATTTCAGAGGAAGGAAGTTGCAGGGAGCTACTATCTCACTCCCTAGTCGCTACTCTGGTACCTTCATTACTGACTTAAAGGAGAAAAACTTTTTTTTTTAATTTCTGTATCGTTCTTTAGCCTGAGAGTTTTGAGACAAATTATCTGTGATGTTATTATCATTTACGTTCTGTAAGATGTTGGAGAAACTGTGTTTTGGTTATTCGTTAGCAATTTGGCCTGTTCATGTGTTGTTATATCCTCTCAGGTTTTGTGCTTGGACAAGCGAGTAACCGAAACGCCAATGGAAAGAGAAAAGCTTGTAGTGATACAGAGGAGAATCCATGTTGGGAAGTGAAGGCGAAATTTGATAAAATGACATACTGGAATCATGATACTCTTCCTTCAAAAGATGATACTATCTTGCGGTCTTTTCATTGGTTCAACATTGCAGAAGCGGTGAGTATACACACTTCCTATCCATATTGATTGGTTCATAAGAGTTTCATGTGGTCTTGTTTTTCTGTTTTGTTTCTAACTTGCTTGAGAACATTGGTTTGACTGCAGCTGCACAAGCCAGTGGCGGTTGAAGACTTGGTTGCAGTAACAGATAATGGAAAGAGTTAAAACATCAAGTGCCGTTAACTGATTTGGTTGTTTAAGAAAAGATGTTGTGAAACAAGTATCAGTAGGTAATTTAAGAAACAGGTGACTTGTTGGAGCCTGGATCATGTATTGTTTCTGTAAACGTTGTTTGTTTGTAGGAAAAATGACTAGATTGGAACAGTTTCATTTAAATAAAATTTCTTTGAAAACCAGATTTACACAACAAAGGAAAATAGACCACAGGCAACGGAAGCTAGTGAGCAAGAACATATACAAAAGCAAACCATATATTTGTTCGACACCCATCAATACATCTTCATCAAGCTTTGTAGGTGAGGTAAACACTGAAATGGAGAATAGTGTCTTGACCATCAGTGATATGCTGATTATTCTGGTTATGCAGAGTTTCCACTATAGCATACCCTTTAGCATGCTCAAACTTCCCTGTCCCACCAATAACAGCAATCTGAGAGGCGTGAGAGGCTGTCCTGTGAACTCCAAAGAAGCTAATAGCATCATCCAAAGTATCATGATGGTCATGCTCTCTGTCTAGCAACACTGTCAGAGAAAGAGTCTGGCTAGTCCCATCCAAGGAGCTTGCCAGGTAAAACCCCTGAGCTTTCCCTATAACTGCTGAACCTAGCTCGTGGCTTTCTGTTAGCTCATCGTCTACAACAGTTATGGTTCCAAACATGAGATGCTGAAGAGCAGCACCCGGAGGGAGGTTTCCTGCAGTTACAAAGGGGAGACTGTTGGAGCTGAGAGCATCGTTGGAGTTGCCGTTAGTGTTTTGTATCACTGTGCTGGTTTGAGCACCGCCTAGGCCTGTGAGAAGTGGAGCTGTGTTTGGGTTAATGACACTGTTGATGTTGTTTGAGTTGACTAGTGGTACTCCGTTGTCTACAGGGAAGATGCTGTTGCTGGCCTTTGAGAATGGTATACCGTTCACTTCGGTTTGTGCTACTATACCAGTGACCACACGAGCTGATGGGTGTGACCCTCCTAGGACGTCGTGCATAAAGAACTCTAGTGATGGCTCGTGTTCACCCCCTGCTGGACCAGCTGGGACTGTTGTTGCTGGTGCAGGTTCTTCCTCAGCTTCTGTTGGAGCCACCACGTTGGGGATTTGACCGGTAGGGACTAACTGAGACTGAGGTTGGATCTCATCAAGAAGCCTAGCGGAGTTGATGAATGGGAGGAGGTTGGCGGATATGAGGAAGAGAAGGATGGTTATGTGTAGAGCTTTGGCCATTTTAGTCTTTGGTTTCTCAAGTTGTGTTGTGTTTGTGTGTTGTGTTTGATGTTTAATGATAGATGAGCTAATGGGGTTTATGTAATGAAGCATTGGAGAATTTGGTAAGTGTTATTGTTAATGGAGTTATTGAAGTGCAGTTGTTGATGTGTTTTAGTTAAGATTGAGAGTCAGCTAACCCTCTATTTTAGTATTTGAATTAGCTAATGATTCTTCTCTTTATATGTTACAAGTCCATAGATCAATAATAATTTTACAATTCTGCTTATTCATATTTTATTTCCACTATACTTTACCGTTTTATGAAATATCATACACTTCTCTTACTGATATTTGACTAAAATCAACTAAAACTTTTCAGCATCATTCCTCCCCCTTAGAACTTCGGCGCATATGATATCATAACGGCCCAATAATAAAGCCCATAATCAAAGCCTAAAAACTCGAGCCAAAGTCTCAGCCGACATTATATTCATATTCATGTTTTTATAGAAAAAAAAAGACGAACTTCCTCAAAGTAAGGGAAGCTAATAAACTTTGTCTAATAGACTAATCTCTGGTTCTCTATCAACAAAACCAAAGCGCTTATTTTTGAAACTCTGGATATACTTCCCAAAATTAGCTTTAATAAAATGCAAGTCTAGAGCCTTCTTTTTATTTCTTGGTCTTCAAAAGTTAAAGATTGCACGTCAAAGATTTGTGAATTGTTAATCAGAATGGCGACATCATTCTCTTGAATACAATGTGCTATACCAGTAGAAAAAAGAATTATGGCTACCACGTATAAAACTCGTAGACAAAAGAAACTAATTGTAAGTTGAAGTGTACAGAGAGTAAGAAAACGGGTTTATCCATGACACTGATATAAATTATATGAAAACATAAAATATATTATGCGATTATGTGTAAAATTGTTTTGATAAACAGTCGGTCACAACTGATCATCCAAAAAATAGTAGGAATAAATATTATTTAGGTAGTTATCTAGAGAATTTGTAATATATATACACAATTTTTAGTTGACAAAAAAAAAATTTAATCCACAAGTTTTAAGATTGATGCACTTTATTTCATGTCAATGCAGCATGCCAACGAGGTACATCTTGAGTTTTGGTTAAGAGCATCATCACACCGGAGAAAGATTTCATTAAAATTTTCAAATTGTAATAATTTTAATATTTTAAAATAAGTGACAAGTGTTATATGAATTTTTTAAAGTCATGTTGTAATCTTTTACTTCTCTCCATTTTTTGTATTTTTTTTTGTTTTTGATATTATTTTATCATTAAAAACTTAGATTAGACATTTCTGGTATAAAATAGTTTTTTTGTTAATTAAACTAAATAATGTATGAACCAACTCAGGCATAACAAATTATTTGAGAGAGAAGGACAAATTTTGAGCAAATTTGAATAATTATTTGTTTTATAAGCAAGAGTTGACTTTCTAAGTTTCAAACTTCTTCTCCCTCCATTTTTCACTGAATTGATTCAACCATAAACATATATAATAAAACATATTAAAATAAAGTGTTTAAGCCATTAGTAATAAGTAATGACAATACAGTCAAAATCTAGAGCTCAACGTGATTCATGCTTCTTCGAAACTGGTTGAAACAATCTTTTTCCAAGATATAAACATGTGTTGGAGTTAACATTTTAGAGCATGACTTTGTTATCGTATTACTCTTTCGTAACCGGTTAACTCTTGTATTTGGTTAATTAAACCAAATTTCAAAAAATAATATAACCGATATTCAATTTTTCTATCAAGAAACCTTTAAATCTTTAATCGTTTTGAAATAAGTACATATAATAGCTTATTGATGGGCTCTGATATGTTCGTAAGCATTGATCAGACCTATCCCTTCCTTAAAGCTGATAAAACACAAGCTTTAGGCCATCAAATATTAAAAGAAGAATTAGGCCACAAGCTACTTGATTTCTTAATCGTAACCATCATCCTTCTTGTGGTATAGGTTTCCGATAGATAATTCTGATTTTGAAAATAATAGAAGACAAGTTACCTTTTGTTTTTGATAGATTAATTTACTCTGTTTATACAGTTTTCTCTTTACCTCTATAATTATCTAACCCAAAAATTTATATTATGTTCTTCTTTTTATTGCATTTTGTTTTCTATACTTCTTCTAGTTTATTTAATTGTTTTTAAACTATTTCTAAATTTTGAAACCATCATAAAAATAAAACTAATTATATTCTTAGATTATAACTAGTGAACTTCAAATATTTTAAGTAAAGTCAGATTTTAAGTATTGATTCATGTTTTGAAGTTTGAAACCAAATATTTTAACATATCCAAAGTATTAGTTTTATAAATTAATTTTAACAATTTTTAGAAACTCAATATTATTCATGTATATATTATTGTTTTCTTTTACAATTTTGTATATTCTACTATAAATATTTATTAAATATAGGGCCACCTTCAAAAAATATTCTATAAGCAACAAAAACATCAGGGACGGCACCGGCGTTGATAAAGAAATCGTGTCTACATCTATAGGTCATTGACTTTGATAAGTCATATACCTTATTTTCTGTAATTAAGCTCGTGTTCAAGATGTATGTGTATGTTGTATCTTTTTCAAACCTTCTATATGTCATTAACTCATAATATATTAATGTGTACCAGCAAATATGTAATAGGCATGTATCTTTGTATGGTTGGTCAAAAAATAGGTTAATATTTGTTTTTCTTAACTGGCTTTCATATTTAAAAAGAAGGAAATATCAGAGTTTACAAAATGAGAAATCAAGAAAGATGTAAACAAATTGAAAGAAAACTACATTATAAGAAAAACAGAACGAAGGTATGAAAAATGATCTGAAAGAGATATAATACACATATTATTATCCTTGGTTTCAATATTTGCAAATTAAATTATGTAAGTTGTAGTTTCTTATATTAATACTAGGTATCACTTGTCCTTAAGAATTTATACAAAAAATATTTTAAAGTATTTAGCTCTATAGGTTTACATACTGAAATTATTAACAGATTCAGAAATCTTTGGAAGTATCATTATTATACCCTCGTAACTAAAGTGACTTTGGTGAGGATTGGTTCGACTCTGACTTTTAAAAAAAAATTATTGTAAAATTTTAGATATAAGTGAGTTGGTTGTATCGATTTTTTTTATAGAATTTTTGTTGTAATTAAATTGGTTGTACTTTACATCTACAGGTTATAGATATTTTAAAATAAATATGTGAAATTTGATATGTAAATATAAATAAATATTTTTATCAATTAATAAGAAAATCAATAAAACACTTATATTCGATCAACTTATTTGTGTGGTTTTTATAGTATCTTAATCATTATTATTTTTATTTTTTTTTATTTTGTAAAAGGATCTTAATCATTATTCAAAACTTCTAAGTTTATAATGTTAAAGTTGCTTTTAGAGTATATAAAACTTTATATTTTAAGTAATGAGATCCTTTTAACTATTCGTCCAAATATTTTATATATTTGTAAAGAAACTACGTGAACGTCATTCGTAGAAATATTACAACGCTTGTACATATGGAGAAGGCACTAATCAAATGTTTGCTCAGGTCATGCATCATTGGTTTCGCTCAAATATTGAGAAACAACCATCTCTCTTTATCATGTTCAATGACATCACAAAGAATTTTAAAACTTTATATTTTTGAAGTCATGGATGCATGCTGTTACCTAGAGAGTTTATACCTTTATACTTTTGATTACTCGTTCAAATTATATTTTTATAAATGAATGTCACCCGTGCGGAATATTTCAAAGCTTGCACGTCTCTAGAGAAGCTAATTAGATGTTTGTTTTGGTCATAGATTTCACCCAAACATTGATCAGTGTTTATATAATGTTCAAATGATCTTTACAAAGATTACGAAGAGAGATTAAAAGCTAAAGAGGCTCTCTCTCCATTAAACCTCAAAACCATGGCGAGATCAATGTCTAAAACTTTTTCTTTCTCTTCCTATTCTTTCTCTTCTCTATCAAACCTTTCATTCAATTCTCTTTCTTCTTTCAACTCTCTTCCAGCTTCTCAACATGGCCAAACCTTTTCACAGTCCATGATGGAAGAAGCCTTAGAAGCTGCAGAAACAATCATCAAGAAATGGGATCCAAACTCAATCTCCTACAGAAAGATCACCTCTCTGTTCAGTCACAGCAGAAAAGAAGCCAAAGAGTTCATCAGATGCGTACGTGACTTACGTAAAGCCATGCACTATCTCATCTCTCAAGACTCCAAATCTGACAAGCTTGTCCTTGCACAGAACCTGATGGAGATGGGTATGTCCATGCTTGAGAAAGAGTTTTTTCAGATACTCTCTTCTAACCGAGACTATCTTGATCCTGAATCAACCTCGGTTCAGTCCACAATATCATCAAGCAATTCGGAGTTTGAGATTTTTATGACGTATGAAGATGATGTGGAAGATGATGTGCTGAGGAAGGCTGGTGAATCCATCACTCAGGTTGAGAAAGCCTCAGCTCTTGTGATGTCAGACTTAAAGGTCATTGCAGAGACCATGATCATCTGTGGTTATGGTAAAGAGTGCATCAAAAACTATAAGTTGATCAGAAAGTCTATTGTTGATGAAGGGCTACACTTGCTTGGGATTGAGAAGGTCATCAAGACCTCTCAGTTTCAAAAAATGGATTGGGGGATGATCGAGCATTTGATCAAGAACTGGATCAAAGCTGCAAAGATTGGAGTCACAACACTTTTAAGAGGAGAGAAGCTTCTTTGTGATCATGTCTTCTCTGCATCAATCACAATAGGACAGTCTTGCTTCAACCAGATAGCCAAGGAAGCAGGAATCAATCTCTTCACGTTACCTGAACTCATCGCCAATAAGGAGAAGAAACCACACCACAACAGGATCTTCAAGCTGATGGATCTCTATGCAACTATCTCTGACCTTTGGCCAGACGTAGAACTTATCTTCAACTTTGATTCATTAGCTTCTGTGCAAACTCTTGTCCTCTCAACGCTCAAGAAACTCAAGGAATCTATCCACACGTGTCTCAAGGAGTTTGAGGCGACAATACATAAGGATTTTTCAAAAGAAGTTCCTCCTGAAGGAGGTGTTCACAAGCTGACTCGGACAACGATGAGTTTCATATCATCGTTGTCTGAACACAGCCGTGTCTTGTCTGAGATTATTACAGAGAATCCTATCAAGAAACACTCTCAGTTGCTAGAATATTACTTCATGGCTCCAATCTTGGAAGATGAACATGAAAACAACCACGCATGCTCGGTCCATCTAGCTTGGCTAATACTTTCCTTCCTATGCAAGCTAGACACCAAAGCAGAGAGTTACAAGGATGTGTGTCTCTCTTACATCTTTAGTTTGAACAATCTTCAGTTTGTGATTAATACCGTTCGCTCCACTCAACTCATGAACCTCCTCGGTGACGATTGGCTCGCCAAGCACGAAGCAAAACTCAAAAGCTTTGCTGCAAAATACGAGAGAGCAGCTTGGACTAATGTTTTCGCGTCTTTACCTGCGGAGACAAATACAAATCTATCAGCAGAGGAGGCCATAACATGTTTCAAGAGATTCCACGCATCATTCGCAGGAGCATACATGAAACAATCATCATGTGTCATAGATGATGCAAAGCTTAGGGACGAGCTTAAGGTTTCCATAGCAAGTAAGCTTGTGCCGAAGTACAGAGAGTTCTACGAGAAGTATCTGCCAATGCTGAGACAGAAGAGTAACATAGAGATGTTGGTGAATTTTAAGCCTGATAACTTGGAGAACTACCTCTCAGATCTTTTCCATGGAACAGAAATTATCGGTGGCTCTTCTCGTTCTGCTGCTTCTTCTTCTTTGTCTTCTTCATCTTGTTGCTCAATTGGATGTTTAAAAGACTAAAGCTCACAGTTAGAAGACTGTTTCAGAGTGAATATTGTTTCTTTGGCATCAATTATTATTTTTATAGGGTGTCAGCAGCTGGAGTGGAACTTTGGGTTAATAGAGGGTTTGTATATCTACTTATGTCTGATGATTTTACTTTCATTTTTATTAATGGGTGATTACACTATTTTTATGGGCACAAGCATGTCAAACAATTTACTCTTATGGTTTACCGCCATATTTGGCATTCAGATATCTATCAATTTCAAAAGAAACTTGTATAAAATTATCTTAGTTGGTAGAGGTAGAGTTATTGATGTCTGAACTGAGAATTACATACTTGTTTCCTCCTCTTAGAGCATTTTGGCCCACATAATATCAAACTCGGCCCAATAATAATGCTCACAATTAAACCCTAGATAAACAAACCAAATCCAAACCGTCATTATCTTCATATTTTGTTTCTAGGTTTCTAATATCTTACTAGATTTTGTTCTATCTTCTTTTATTGCATATTTATCAATCCTTATGTTTGTTCACTAATATATTTAGGATTAAGCGTTTGGTTTTCGGTTGGATTCGAGTTTGTTTATATGTGGTTTGGTATGGTTTTTTTTTGGTTCAAGAGATATAAAAACCGTTTGTGTATTTATGAACTTGAGTTTAGTTTTGATTTTATTTTTTTAGTATTTGGTTTAGTTTAGATAACAATATTAGAAATCTATATGTGTTACAAAAGAATATTAGGAAACAATAAAATTTTGAGTGCAATTTAGTTCTGGTTTGGTTTATGTATTTGGTTAATTTTGAATAATTAGGAAAAAAACATATTTTAGAGTTTTATCAGATCACTCGAATAAATGTATTTGACTCACTTCACCCATTGATGATCCAATTTGATCCATTCATTCTTTCATTATTTTTATATGAAATATCACTTTTTAGGCTAATTTGTTATGAGTAAGCATTCCATCGCGACGAAATATTATTAGCTAGGAGACGTTGATTCCTTATCTGTCTGTCAAGTAGAGTTCCCCTTCTCCTTATGCAGGGTTTGTTTGTTCCTTGATGTATTAGTTAGCAAGCAAAGCGATCTTCCTAAGTAAGCAAGCTGTAGTGAGCGAGTGCCTACCGCGCTGTGCGTGTTGAAGTGCTCAAAAGAGGTTTAGCAATTGGGAGAGTCGGAGTCTCACCTTCGTGGCTTTCATCAAGTCTTAATTTATCACAGAAAACTGATAAATGATGTTGAATATTAAAAAATTTCAATGAATATGATCAAACTCACACAACACATAAAATTTAATGGGTGAATCGAGAAGGCCGTTACAATAGTTAGTCACGCGCGTGTATGATTGTCAAGGCATGTCATCATCTTCTTCCTTTAGAATCAGAGATTATGTCCAGTTTCTAACATCTTTCAGTTTAAGGGACACCAATTTGAAGCTAAACTGTCACAAAAACATTTGGAAAACGTTTCCAAGCCATCCCCGTAACATTTTCAGTATGTGGAACAACTGCCAATAAACATAGACGTACATATGCTTCATAAGTCCACATGTAGGTATATTATTAATTAAACTAAATCAATCAAATTGTTTATGGTTACACCAATTAATTAAAAATATGTACTGAATACTTTAGTCTTTAAATTTAAATTTTATATAAGTTGAAGAGATTTATCCAATTTTCAAAATATCGTATTGTCTATTTTATTTTCAAAAATAATGCAACAATAATAATTTTGAATATATATTTTTTTATTTAAAATAAAATATCAAGTTTAAATTAGGAAAAAAATGTCTTATCACATATAAAAGAGTTATTTTTCAAAAAAAAATGTGGTGTATTCTCCAAAATTTTGAAACACAAATAAGGTCTTATTCAAATAGTCCCTTGATATTTCACATGCATGGTATCATATTATACTAAAGAAGAATCAAACATCTTTTTGTAATGAGGTTGTTTAATGTTATATAACAATGGGGTGCTTTACTCTTTCAAATAATCTAAATAATTAAATTTGCTGAAAAACATTATTTATGAAAACTCATTTTTCTATAAAAAATAAATGTAACCATGTATTGACATATTTTGTTAAGTGTAGAAACTTTACAGATTACAGAAATATATAAAATAATATCATATAGTTTATAAGTAATGGAAAATCAGTTTATTAAAAAAAATCAGTGGGTTTAGGTCACTGTGTATAATACCAAACAATATGCTAAGACGTACATATTTACGTTATAGTTTTTATCTTCCGTTGAAATAGGTGAAACCAAAAGTATATAGCAACGAAAGTATTTGAAAACAGTATATTCAGATATTAAATAATTAAAAAGTACTATATTAAATAAAATAATGGCATTGCTATAAATACTTGCAAAACATAAAAATTACCTCAAAAAAATGCCTTGTATTTTAAAAGTATTAGATACTATATAAAAAAACACCCCAAGAATACGGAAAATCTAAGACGCAATTTGCAAAGATTGGGAATACTCATCTTAGTGAAAAGATTTATTCATAACGTATTGTTATATTATCTTCAAAATAAAAAAATTATTTTGCTGGCAAGTCGTTTTAAACTGGTACCACCCAAATGATCGATACTATATTGGATCGTTTTCTGTTTGTTTGGGTTTAGGAGAATTATATGGTTCTCTATCAACAAAACCGAAGGGTTTATCTTTGAAACTATGTGTATATATTCTCAAAGTGAAGGTCTGGATCCTTCCTTTCTTTTATTTCTTGGTTTCAAAGGTTAAAAATCACACGTAAATGATTTGTGAATTTTTAATCAGATGGAGTTTTTTAATCAGATGGCAACATCAGTCTCTCGAATACAATGTGCTATACCAGTAGAAAACAACTATGTGACTACCACGTATACAACTCATAGACAAAAAAAAACATTGGTGCGTTGACGTGTACAAGGTGTAAGAAAAAGGGTATATACGTGCGACTGATGTAAACTATATGCACAAAAAACATGTGATGATGTTTAAAGATTGTGCTGATAAACAGTCGGTAGCAACTGAACAAGATTTGAGTTGACAAAAGAAAGATTAAACCTGCATACTGATTCAGTTATCAACGGATATCAGCTTTTCAAAGATTGATGCCCTGGCAGCACATCATAGAGATTATCGTGAGTTTTGGTTAAGTAATATATGCTTATATATATAAAAAAATATGCTTGTATAAATGTATTTCTATCAATAAAAATAAATATCAATTCTGGCTTAAAAAATTATTTNAAGAAAGATTAAACCTGCATACTGATTCAGTTATCAACGGATATCAGCTTTTCAAAGATTGATGCCCTGGCAGCACATCATAGAGATTATCGTGAGTTTTGGTTAAGTAATATATGCTTATATATATAAAAAAATATGCTTGTATAAATGTATTTCTATCAATAAAAATAAATATCAATTCTGGCTTAAAAAATTATTTGGGAGAAAAGGACAAAATTTGAGATAATTTGACTTGGTCTTTATAGGCAATAGTTGACTTTCTTAAGTTCTTAACTTCTTCTGGTTCCAGTTGTTCCGGTTTTTACTGAATTGATTCAAATATAAACATAAAATAAGCACATTAAAATAAAGTATTATCGTCATTAGTAATAAATAATAACAACATTCAAAATCGCGAGGTCAACGTGATTCATGATGTTCCAAGCTCGTTGAAACAACCTTTTTCCTAAATATAAACATGTGTTGGGAGTTAACATCTCAGAATATCTCTTTGTACTCGGTTGACAAAACCAAGCCAGTTTAGAAATAACATAACCGATATTCAATCTCTCTATCCAAAAATCTCTAAATTGCTAACCGGTATGAAATAACTCTTTGAACTCGGTTGACAAAACCAAGCCAGCTGGTCTCTGATTTGATTGCCAGCATTGATACCGAACTCGTGGCTACATCTATACGCCATTGACTTTGATAAGTCATATACCTTATTTTCTGTAATGAAGCTCGTGTTCAAGATGTATGCGTATATATTTTATATATATGTTTTTCAGACCTTCTGTATCTCATTAACTCATTATTTAGCAGTATGTACAACGCAAATACGTAATATCAGAGATTGTGCGTATCTTTGTACGGTTGGTCAAACAAATAGGTTAATATTGTTGTATATAGTAATGTGGCATGAAAAATGATCTGTTCTGAAAGAGATAAATATACATATTATTATCTTTGGTTTCACTATTAACAAATTGAATTTCGCAAGTTGTAGTTTCATGTATTCACACAAGGGATCAACTTGTCCTTAACCTTTGGATCCATACAAAAAGAAACAACATAAATATTTAGTTCCATAGATTTATTAAATTGAAATTAATAAAGATACCATTATAAAACTTTTTAGAGATGTCTCATTCTTCTAACCTCATAAGTAAAGCTGACTTTGCAACCAACTCCTGTACTTTAGTAAGGCAATCAACCAAACACATATATTCGATCAATCTTCTTATATGGTTTTGATAGTATTTTCCAAACAACTTTATATTAAAAAGTGACAAAACCTCAAATTTAAAAACTTGGAGAGTGTTTTTCTACAAAAGAAGAAATTGACTTCAAATATCGTATGTTTTACATTGTAATCTTTACTACTGATAATTTTTTATATAACTATAAAAACATACAATAGTAAATATTATAAACAATATTAATGATGAAATAGTACATTCTAGTACAAAATTAAATATAAAATCAATTACCACAAATTTTAATGAAAAACATAATCATTTACAATAATTCTTTTCATTTTACTCATATAAATAATTAGATAATGCATTTTGAAGTGATAAATGAGTCGTCTTAGTATTTTTATATGTAGGTATTGTTTAGTTCAATATTGTTTAATTTTTATAATATAATTCGTTTTTATGTTTTTATATATATTGTTGAATAAGACATAATATCGTGATGACTGAAATGACTAACAAACCTTGAAACTTTAGAATAGTAAAACTTAACTTTCAGCATGCAAACTTCTAAATTTAAAGTGTTAAAGTTGCTTTTGAAGTATATAAAACTGTATATTTACAGTCATGAGATGCTTTTACGTAAAGAATTATACCTTTATACTTTTAATTATTCGTCCAAATTGCTTATATATACCAGTAAAGAAACTACATGAGAGTTACTCGTACGGAATATTACGTGCCTTATACGTATAGAAGACGTAATCAAATATTTGTTTTTAGTCACCCAAACATTGAGAAACCATCTCTATATAATGTTCAATGACATTACATATGGAATTATAAAACTGTATATTTAAACTCATGAGATGCGTTTACCTAAGGAATTATACCTTTATACTTTTGATTATATATTTTATATAAATCTATAAAAAAAAACTACATGATTGTTACTCGTACGGAACATTTCAAAGCTTGCACGTATAGAAAAGCTAGTCAACTGTTTGTTTTGAGTCATTGGTTTCACTTCTCAAACATTGAGAAGCCATTTCTCTATATATAATGTTCAATGACCTTTACAAAGACAAACCAAGATCTTATAAGTTAAGTGACTCCATTAAACCTTAAGCCATGGTGAAAATGGCTAAATCTGTTACCTTCTCTTCTTCTGCATCAAACCTTTCATCTCATCCTTCTTTCACTTCTCTTGCTTCATTCAATTCTCTTACTGCTTCACCACTCAACCAACCTTTTACCCAGTCCATGATGGAGGAAGCCTTAGAGGCTGCAGAGTCAATCATCAAGAAATGGGATCCAAACTCACAGTCCTACACAAAGATCATCTCTCTGTTCAGACACAACAGAAAAGAAGCCAAAGAATTCATCAGATGCGTCCGTGACTTACGCAGAGCCATGCACTTTCTTGTCTCTCAAGACTCAAAATCCGACAAGCTTGTCCTTGCACAGAACCTGATGCAGATTGGTATGTCCACGCTGGAGAAAGAGTTCTTCCAGATACTGTCTTCAAACCGAGACCATCTTGATCCTGATTCAGCCTCTGGTCAGTCCACAGTATCTAGCAATTCGGAGTTCGAAGTTTTTATGGAATATGATGATGATGATGAAGATGATGATGAGCTGAAGAAGGCTGGTGAATCCATCTCTCAGGTGGAGAAAGCCTCAGCTCTTGTGATGTCAGACTTAAGAGTCATAGCAGAGACCATGATCAGTTGTGGTTATGGTAAAGAGTGCATAAAAAGTTACAAGTTGATCAGAAAGTCTATTGTTGATGAAGGGCTACACTTGCTTGGGATTGAGAAAGTCAAGTCCTCTCAGTTTCACAAAATGGAATGGGGAGTCCTTGAGCATATGATCAAGAACTGGATCAAAGCTGCAAAGATTGGAGTCACAACACTCTTACGAGGAGAGAAGCTTCTCTGTGATCATGTCTTCTCTTCATCCATCACAATAGGTCAGTCTTGCTTTAATCAGATTGCAAAGGACGCAGGACTCAATCTCTTCATGTTACCGGAGATAGTAGCCAACAAGGAGAAGAAACATCACCACCATGAGAGGATCTTCAAGCTGATGGATCTCTATGCATCTATCTCTGACCTTTGGCCAGATATAGAACTCATATTCGACTATGATTCATTAGCTTCTGTGAAAACTCTTGTCCTCTCAACGCTCAAGAAACTCAAGGACTCTATCCACACGTGTCTCAAGGAGTTCGAGACAACAATACATAAAGATTCTTCTAAAGAAGTTACTCTTGAAGGAGGTGTTCACAAGATGACTCGGACAACGATGAGTTTCATATCATCGTTGTCTGAATACAGCCGTGTCTTGTCTGAGATCCTTGCAGCGCATCCTCTTAAGACAAACACACGCTTGCTAGAATCTTACTTCACGGCTCCTATCTTAGAAGATGAACATGTCAACAACCACGCCTGCTCGGTCCATCTAGCTTGGCTCATACTTATTTTCCTATGTAAGCTAGACACCAAAGCAGAGTTTTACAAGGATGTGTCTCTCTCTTACATCTTCCTTGTGAACAACCTTCATTTCGTGGTTGATACCGTTCGTTCCACACACCTCAAGAACCTCTTAGGAGACGATTGGCTCACCAAGCACGAGGCAAAACTCAAAAGCTACGCTGCAAAATACGAGTTAGCTGCTTGGAACAATGTTTTGGTATCTTTACCGGAGAAAACAAGTGGCAAGCTATCACCAGAAGAGGCTACAACATGTTTCAAGAGGTTTCACGCAGCATTCGCAGGAGCATACTTGAAACAATCATCATGTGTCATAGAGGATGCTAAGCTTAGGGATGAGCTTAAGGTTTCCATAGCAAGGAAACTTGTGCCGGAGTATAGAGAGTTTTATGAGAAGTACTTGCCATTGCTGAGACAGGACAAAAACATAGAGATGTTGGTGAGTTTTAAGCCTGATAACTTGGAGAATTATCTATCAGATCTTTTCCATGGAACACCAATACTCAGTGGCTCTTCTCATTCTGCTTCTTCTTCTTTGTCTTCTACTACATCTTGTTTCTCAATTAGATGTGTAAAACACTAAAACCACGTATAGAAAAACATTACTATTCTCACTTGAATGAATGTACACTTGTTTGTTTGTCTTTTTTGTGTGTGCGTTTGCTTGTTTTTAATAAAAATGTCTTTCTTATAAATGCAACCACCAGTCATATCTTTTGACAGGCATACTTGAAACAATCATCATGTGTCATAGAGGATGCAAAGCTTAGGGATGATAAGCTAGAAAAGGCTGGTGATTAGATAATTCAGGTTAAGAGTTAAAAGTCATATGAAATATTATGTTCAGATGGTAAATAGTGCATAGAGACCTGTAGGTTGATCAAAATAGATATTTTCAGTAGGTACTTATGGTTAGTGGTGATTAACTTGAAAAAAAAAACTCAATACAGTGAAACCATTTGGATTCGAGTTCCGCCACTATCAGGAACATGAGACCGACACATGGACCGAAAATGTAAGTTATTAACACTTAGTTAGTTTGAACTATTCTGGTGTGTGTGTCAGAATACAGATGTATAATTAATTATTATTTTTTTTTTTTTTTGTAACACAAATTAAATTTTTTAAAATAGATATTTTCTAAGAGATGACTTGATCACATGATATCGGATTACTGTGTAAGCTGCGTGAACCGAAATTCAATCTCAGACTTTTTCACACAGTTAAGCTTTGAAACATAGTTGAGGTTCAAATCCCGAAGGAATGATGAAACGAGGAAACAAATATGATATGAGATCCGCCAAACCACAAACTTCTAAAATATCGTGGAAACCAGTTAACTCAGTTAATTTGATTGCAAATTTTGGTATTTTTATATATTATAATCGATCAGGGCATTGGGCTAAAGTCAAACGAATATATTCCAAAACTCATATTGTTATTTATTGACAGATTAAACAATTAGAAGATTTATTTTGTAAAGAATGATTAGGAACTACTATTTCAAAAGTTAAGAAAAATAATAGAAAATGAATTCCTTATATTAATATATAGTGGAGTTGGCACTTAAAAATGGTGCACCGTGCAATTAAACCCGGGAATCAAGAAAAATGTTTGAACATCTTAACGAACAATGAGATGGAACTTTGGCAATAACAAAATAGTTTTCATACTATTAAGCACCTTTTTGCATAAATTATTACATAATTATTATAATGTCCTCAAATTATTAAAAACATAATTAGAATTAATATACATAGGTATAAAATCTTCAAATTATTCAAAATAAAATTTTATTATTATTAGTGAAATCACTATAACGTTTGAAATTTCTGGTCCTCTAGACTATACATGATGAAGTTAAAAAAAAAAAAAAAATTAAAGAAGAAGCAAACATGATTTGATTACCGTTTCTATAGATGTTAAACCTATGTGTTAGTGACATACGGGTCATGACATAATGATATTGTTGATCATACTTGGTTGTTGTTGATGTATTTTTTTTATTGCTTAAGTAACCAGTAAGACAGAAAAAAATATCAAACACTTGAACTTCTACCAGTGCGGGTCTAACATTTCAAAAAAAAAGTTTGATAAACTATTGTTTAAAATCTATGATATACTAAACGGTCGGTTCATTTGTCTATTCCGGACGGTACATGAAGTCTACCATGTTCACTGTCTGTCATAGTTGTCCTTGTCCAAATTAAAAGAGATCCATATACACATTTAATTTAAAACACACAATAAGTAAAATAATTATCAGATAGGTTATTAAATCAATACTTTTGTTGTCTCGCTATTCGTTCTTTCATAGTTTAAGCTTTAATTGCCAGTTATGACGATGACGAACCCATTAACTTTCTAAAGCCAACCAAATAATTCTTTAAAAGAAAAAGAAATCCATTAAAACCCAGTCTTTTTTTTTTTGTAACACTAGTGTTAATTAACTGACCAAACTTATAGTATTGATTTCAAGTTTTAAGTGGTGGTCCATCGAAGAAACTATTATTTTCCTAGACAGGAAAAGTATTATTTTCGTAGACAAGAAAAGTTTACTATTATTATTTTAAAAAGTAGTATTATTTTCCAAATATATCTGAATCCATATATTTTCGTAGCCCACTACGATGTGTTTAAGTAAACTAAACACACAACTTGGCCCACACTCCACAGTTGTGCCCTCTTTACCAAAACGAAACCCTAACGCTAACTCTCTTTTGAATATATAAACAAACAAACCTCTTCGACTCTTTACTCATTATCTCTAATCACTGAAACATAACACACACAAAATAACCCTTAACAAATGGCAGCTAATTTAGCCCTATGCGACAGTGATGTAGAAGATGATTACATCGACATGGAAGTAACTTCTTTCACAAGCCTCGTACGCAAAACTCTCATCAACAACAACAACAACAACCCTAGAGAGTTCGAGTTCCAAATGTCTCATCTTGGTCCTCTACATACAGACAAAACCACTTCTCCTGCAGACGAACTCTTCTACAAAGGCAAGCTTCTCCCTCTTCACTTACCTCCACGTCTCCAAATGGTCCAGAACCTTCTAGAAGACTACACCTTTGAAGATGAATTCTACAGCACACCTTTAACCACTCCAGTCACTAGCAACACTCCTTTCGAGTCTTGCACCGTCTCTCCAGCAGAGTCTTGTCAAGTGAGTAAAGAGCTTAACCCTGAAGACTATTTCCTCAACTATTCAGATTCAATAGAAGAGAAGAAATCTTGGGGCAAGAAACTGAAGTTGATCAAACAATTAAGCTTTGGAACAAAGATTAAAGCTTCAAAAGCTTATCTAAGATCCTTCTTTGGTAAATCAAGTTGTTCTGATGAGTCTAGGGTTGCTGATGAAGGATCTGTTTTGAGGTATTCATTAGTGGAGCCTCCTTTTGGACAAATCAAAACAGAAAAACCTAAAAAACAGAGTGATGGCTCTGTTTCTAGGAGCCATAGGAGATCGTTTTCGGTTTCTATGAGGAGACAACCTGCGAAGAGTTTGAACAACAAAGCAACGAGTAGTTTAGGGTTTCGTCCGTTGCAGTTTTTGAAGAGAAGCACGAGTTCGAGCTCAGAGATGGAGAATTCTGTTCAAGGAGCTATCTTGCATTGCAAGCAATCTCAGCAGAAGCAGTATAGTGTCAATGAGGTTGGATTCTGTTCGTTGTCAGCTTCAAGAATCACAGCGACAGATGATCAAGAGCGGGATCAGCTATTTAGGGGTTAACTAAGGAATTAAATTTGACATCCAAGAACATGAGATGATAATAAGAGTTGAGTGATAGTGAGATCACTAGAGATTAGATTCCTTGTTATCTTCAGATTTTTATTCTTATTTTTGCTTTTTTATGTTATTTTAACAGATTTCATAAATTCCGGTTCCATTTTCATGTCTAAAAAATACATCTGATTTTTTTTTTGAAACACAAATACATCTGATTATAATCCTTTTATTCGATATTTAGATTCAGCTCAAATTACTAGTGATTTGAGGTTTTAGATTCAAATTCAATATGGTCGGAATGTTTTTTTTATTTAAATATGGTCGGAATGTATTGTAAACTAATGCAAATGTCTACTATAAACCAAGGGTTTTTGTTGAACTTTTAACCCGATAGTATTTGAAACTTTTTATCTTATAAATGGGTATATATACATATACAAAACCTTCTATTTGTTAAAAATTGTGTTTGTTGTTTTTTTTTAACATAATATTGTGTTTGTTAAACTTAATTTCTTTCATATGGTTTTCCAGATCATCAACAACTTATTATAATGACTAAAATATCATTAAATCTGAAGTTGATGAAATTGTAAGTACATTACACCGCATGCACAATCACGAATAAATAATTATTTTATCATCTTGTATAATTTGTAGTTCAAATTTTAAATTAGTTATAAAAGTTACCATACAAATGCGTTAGTTAGCTTGCAATGGTTTGAGCTAAATATTACAGTCACTATATTAAAATCACCAGAAGTAGTCATTTACAGAAGAGAAAATATACATTTATACAAGAGAAAAAAAACAATAAATTTATCGGAGGTTGATTGAGAGACTCAAATGATTGTGATTCCATGAACACGAATTTTCATAGTTGGACCGTCGTTATCACCATAGAAAGCTTCAGTTCTTAAAGTTTTTTTTTGCTTAAATTTGGTGCACTTCTTAAAGTTGAAAAGGCGAATATATCGGAAAACATGGATCCATGCTCTCATCGCTCCATAGTTTATTTAAATAAGCAAGTGTAGTTTGTGTAAAGAAGCCATTATGACATGTATTTTATATGTATAAAGTCATCAATGGAAGACGATGACAACAGCACCGTAGAGGTTAGGTCGAGTTCCGAAGCCTAGTTACCCCCTTTTTAGTGTTAAGTTTCATTTATAGCGTCCTCTTATTATGACAAGTTCCATCTTTTATACATACCCAATTATCTGTTTAATAGTAAATCCATCTTTTAAACCATTTATTTATTAAGCATGTGATTGAGTATGCCTCTTACAAGAATTATAAGGTAAACTATGAAAATAATGGTAACATAATTAAAGATTCAACTCTAAAAGGCAATTTAGAAAGGGTGCACGGGAGCGACAAGAGAACCCAAAGCTGTGGGCTGCTTTAGCTTATCTTTTGTGTGTTTGATTAGTGCGTGTGTATCCGTTTAAACTTTCAAAGCCCTTAAAATAAGGTTAAGCTGTCCAAACCTTTATGTCTCCATTTTGTATGATTTTTTTTTTATCATTAGATAGCGATTTCATAAAAATGTTTTACATTGCTTAATGATTAATTATATATTGATGGGAAAAAAATTTGAGAAACACATATATAGTCATATATGTAAAAAATTATTTTCCATGACTTCAGTGGTGTAAATTTATTTGTTATAGTTATGAAGGGTTCCAAATTCATTTGAATGAAACACTATAGTGGTTGAATCTTTTAGTTTATTATATAATCCCTATAAATGTCAAAATATTATTTTATATATTATTTTTAATACAAATTAAAAGGTTTAGTAGTTATTTTTGGAGAAAAACATAACAAAAAAGTTATTAATTGAACTAAGTTTAAAAGTACAAATATTTTAGTTAAAGAAATATGGATATAGGCATATATATAGCCCAAGTATAGTTCATAACCAATTCATACAGCCCATGTTAGTGACATCCTCATTCTGATTGCCCAAGTTTCCCACGTCCATACATATTAAGCGTTCTTTTCGATACATTCTGATTGCCCAAGTCCTAGCTATAGTTTAGGATGGGATTTAGCCAGTTACAAGCGAGTACATTAGAGATTTTAAGTGCATTAGAAATCAGAAGTTATTTGAAAGGCTTTCACCGTCGACAAGATCAAGGAAGCAAGGACATATACTCTTGTAGTGTTAGATATAGCATAAGTTGAACAATATATCAAATAATTTATAAAATTTTAACTCGAATATGGCATGTTTATTTCACATAACATAAAAATTACTTTTCATAACGAGATCTGCGGATAAATTGTATTTCATTTACTTCAAAATCAGAAAGCATAACATTAACACACGTAAACAATAATATGTATCTCTGTTTTGATTTACGAGTTGGAACTTTTGTAAACAGACATTGTAATTTGTAAGTTGTAACACAAAAAAGAGAAAAATAGATATTACTGTAGTAATAAGTTTGTAAATATAAACACATTAAGATGATAGTGCTCCATATCTGTTTAAACTTTAGAGTCGGCTAAGCTCTTTACTTTTGTTGAAAATTAAAATAGTAATTCTTCACTTCCTTTGATCGTGGCGGCATGAATGGAAATACAGTTAGAAGTTAGTAATCAAAAGTCAACAAAAACTTAATTAACAAATAAGTCGATATGAGATTGGAAATGTAAAAAAGCATTCCCTATCATATTTAATGCTTTCACATGTTATCTCACTAANCTAACACCGCCCACGGCTAAGAATTCTCGAAGGTGGGAATATTATAGTGAGGTGGAATCAATATTATGTAACGTTTGATAGGAAACCATCAAGAAATTTACATAGGCCAATAGTGAACAAATATATTTCTTAGATTAATCGCATTAACTTGTATAACTTCAACAAGAAATTTAAATTTATATAAAAGAAATAAATTGTTTGATATATATAACTGCAACGATTTGATTTCAAGTTTGATATCAAATTGTTGTATGGATTGTAGTGATTAGTTAAAGGTGATTAAGTCGACTTACTATATAGTTTATTGCCATATAATTGACCTACTACGTAATTTATATGGATGATGTGGAGTTTCTGATTAGCAGGCGTACTTTTGACCTATCGATCAATTGCCCACAAGTATTAATTTGTTAGCATGTTTTGAAAGCTTGTCTATTATTTCTAACAAACTTTGTTATATGACTTTGATTTGACTATAAGAGTTTTTAAACATTGGATTTTCTTTTTCAATTTTTAAAAAAGTTCTAATTGGCGCTTCAATTTTACTTTTTGTCTTAGACATATATAGACCAGAGGCAAATGTGCATGAAGTTTACACCATATCCACGACTTTGGATCTTTTATTTTGGACAAAATGTGAAATTTTATTACCAAAAAAAAAAAAAAGAAACGCTTGTTTACAAGTAGGTAGGGTGCAAATTAAAAAAAAAAACTGGATTGAAATACATTGAGTGAAGCAGTTTTAAAAGAAAATTTGGTGACCTCTCCGCTTTCTTCAAGAGAATGTGTCATATGCTTCAGTCTATTTGAGCTTGAAATGTCTTTGACATGCTGCTGTGAAGTCGATTCTATTAAAACTTTTTCTATAAGTTGTTACGCTCTCTCCAAAAGATAAAAACATAGGCTTCAACAGCGATACGTTTGTCCAAGTTTACATGGAGCATGTTACAAATCTGGCTGCTAATTTCGCAGTGGCAGAGGACGTGCTCTTATGTTTTCGGAAGTGAATACATCATGCATTTAGAGGTGTTGATACTTCGTTTTGAACATGTTTAGGTTTACGATTTAGGATCACAGATAAATTGTGAAGATTATTCTATTTGTGATATGTAAAGTTATAGTGCACGTCTTAAACATTAAGATCCAGGGCTTGAACTTTTCTTTTTTACATTATAGAAATACTTAACAGTAGTTCTTTCACAATACTTTAAAATACTTATCAAATCGTTACCACCAATCCCCATAGAAAGAAAGGATGATCGTATGGGTGAAAAGACAAAGAGATGACACTGATACCGAAAAGTCACGTTCACGCATTCAAATTGGTGTTCATAGGATATTCTCAGTACTGCGTCGTCGTGCATGCATGAACATTTGAGCATTAACTTCATAAGACATTTCCTTGCAATCCCTTTAACGTACATATACATTACATAACTGATGACATATTTGACTTTCATCGATCACATGCATCGCAATAAATATGAAGTAATCTAACGAACCATATCAATATATGGTTTACTATGCTTATACATGTTTTATTTTTCTAAATTTAATCGAAGAGATATGGGGTCAAAACCCGGAATAATCTAGTTATAATAATGGATTATTATGTCTTTAAAATGCACTTATGTAACATAAAGCACAGTTAATAGGACGATCAGTGACTTCGACCTGCAAATATTTTACATTATACTGTATCTAGCTTACCTTTTTACGATTTAACCGACAATTTTGAATTCAACATGTGGATTATTTTATGGGCTGTCGTATAGAAATTTCAGTGATGCATGTACGTATATCAGTAGAAACACAGAAACATGGTCTTGAACATAGCATTTGGTATTAACATTATATCGAGTACTACAAGATCCACCAATTAAACCGCTATAGTCGTATATGAAGAAAATAAAAACTAGAACATGGCACACCACTCACTATTTAAAGCTGAGATAGATTTTTCCGTTTGATTAGGCAGCATTTAACTACAACTAGTTCGCCAGGAGGTTGTAATAAATGATTGGTACCATAGTTGTTTGCTTGCAATTGCCTATCACCTCATGTGTCCACACACATACGTTATGCTAACATGCGTGTCCACATTAGTATACAATAATTATATGAAATACTATAAGTTTATATGCCTTATTAGCTAGCTACGAACATATTAACAACTAACTTTTTGAATTAAGCATTGTCTTTGTACTGTATTAGCTTGCCTCTCTAAAGCCACTAGTACGAGTGCCGAACAGAAAATTTTAGCGTTGAGGAGAAACATCTCTAACGTTCATAAAAAAGACTTGGCCCGAACCCTTTTTTATTTTACTCTGATCATTTGACACGGTCAAACGGTGCTGCATGTGCTGTTGAAGATTTTTACGGCATTTTGTTAGGCTTTTCATTAAGTTTGGCAAGTGAAGTAGCTGTGCTAGCTAGTCTTGTAGCCATTTCATTACAGATTAAGTTTTGATTTTGATTGGACCGACTTTTAGATAGACCAATATAAAACATCAGTCTATGTGCCTAGATCCTTGTACATATATACTAATACTATTTCACACACACACAATTAATCCATTCTCAAGTGGGCATCAACTTTGCATGACTAGTTGTTTGGATAAGTTTTCGTTTTTTACCTACTTCATCAATCTTGTTACAAAAAAAAAAGAACTACTTTATCAATCATCTATTTCAGTTTTCAAGCTGTGACTAAGATAGTAGAAACTAATTTGTCGACTTTCACTTTTTAAAATTGTCACTTTTAAAAATTTGCTTTATACCTAACACGATTCTTATGTCAACTACCTAAAACGCAATTAAGAAAATCGCATACTTGAGATTCTTCTAATTAGGTATGGACCATGTGGTCTTTATAACTTCACATCAACGATGTACTCCTTTTGCAAGGCCTTTTGTAAGTTGCTTCCAATTTCTTATGGAAAACGGTAAATCTGAATTTTCATGTGATCCCTTGTACGTAACTTATTTATTTTGTCAGAGTAGTCACTTGTACATTCACCCAAAATATGGCAAATAAGTAGAATAATAAGAGCATTAACTGAGACAAGTATGTTTTACCAAAAAAAAACTGAGACAAGTATGGGAAACACACACATACGAAAGTCCTTGTCCCATGCCTGTGTTAGATCAACAAACACCCTTTACCTAACTGGCTAATTCCCAAAGTCAATAAAATCGAATTTGTCACGTGGCATGTGCCCACCGTTCCTTCTTTGTAATATTTGGTACTACTATTTTCCAGTTTTGGGAACTTTAGATTTCATAGGTCGGCTCTTCACCTTCCCCTGATTTCTTAAAAATAAATCAAAAACGCATTTACATCCAAACAGTCAAAATAAAAAACCTAACACACTTTTCCCATGCACACTCACAGAGACTTCTTTAACAATTTTCTCACATCAAGCCTTCGTGTCTTCACACATAAATACACGTCTCTTCATGCATCTCTCGCTTCTATATAAGTAAGATACATAGATTGACACATATCCTACAAAAATTCAAACTTAATAAAAGATCAAAAACTTCAGTGCCTTTCTTCTTTGCTGGGAGAATACAGAGTTCTTAAAATTAGTTTCGTGTGGCTCAAGAAAAGTTCATGAGTGTGTTTTAAGGTCGTTTAATTTGTTGCTCTCATAAAGTTAAAGTCCTTTCAAGTAACTATGGCTCGTATCGTAGCAGCTGATGATGACGACGGTATGCAGCAGTTCTACTCCATGGAACTAAACCCCATCTCCTCTGTTTCCGACTCCACATTAGGACAACTTCTAAAGAACGTAAGTGATGTCCGTAAACTAGCCATCGGAGACGAGACACCAGTTCACGAATCTTACAACCAAGACAACAACGATGATAATCTCACGCGTACTGTCCCCTTCGTTCTCACTTTCGACAACCTCACATACAACGTCTCAATCCGTCAGAAACTCACCTTCCGCGACCTCATCCCCCGTCGCAAAACAAACGACCCCGAGATACCTCAAACCGTAATCCCTCCCAACACCAAAACCCTCCTCAACAACATCTCCGGCGAGACACGAGACGGAGAGATAATGGCTGTTCTCGGAGCCAGCGGCTCAGGAAAATCAACGCTAATCGACGCATTAGCTAACCGTATCGCTAAAGGAAGCTTAAAAGGAACAGTGAAGCTAAACGGCGAAACTCTCCAGTCACGCACCCTAAAAGTAATCTCAGCTTACGTCATGCAAGACGACCTCCTCTTCCCTATGCTAACAGTCGAAGAGACACTAATGTTCGCAGCCGAGTTTCGTCTCCCTAGAAGCTTACCAAAGTCTAAAAAGAAGCTACGCGTTCAAGCTTTGATCGAACAGTTAGGAATCAAGAACGCTGCTAAGACTATTATCGGAGACGAAGGCCACCGTGGAATCTCCGGTGGAGAGAGGAGACGTGTCTCTATAGGGATTGATATCATCCACGACCCGATTCTTCTCTTTCTTGATGAGCCTACGTCAGGTTTGGACTCTACTAGTGCCTACATGGTGGTGAAAGTTTTGAAGAGGATTGCTCAGAGTGGCAGTATCGTAATTATGTCGATTCATCAACCTAGTCATCGAGTTCTCGGTTTGCTAAACCGGTTAATTTTTTTGTCACGTGGTTATACCGTGTTTAGTGGTTCTCCGGTTAGTCTCCCGCGCTTCTTCGCGGAGTTCGGGAGTCCGATACCGGAGAACGAGAATCGGACCGAGTTCGCGTTGGATCTAATCCGCGAGCTCGAAGGATCCGCCGGAGGAACGAAGGGATTAGTTGAATTTAATAAAAAATGGCAGGAGATGAAGAAAGAGAGTAACCGTCAGCCGCCGTTGACTCCTCCGGCGTCGCCGTATCCGAATCTAACGTTGAAAGAAGCGATCGCCGCGAGTATCAGCAGAGGGAAGCTAGTCTCCGGCGGAGAATCCGCCGCGGCGATCTCAACCGCCAGCGTAACTACCTTAACCGTACCTGCGTTCGCGAACTCGATCTGGATCGAGATCTTAACTCTATCGAAACGATCGATGCTGAACTCGAGAAGACAACCGGAGCTATTCGGAATCCGACTCGCATCCGTCGTTATCACCGGATTCATCCTCGCAACCGTCTTCTGGCGAATCGATAACTCTCCGAAAGGAGTTCAGGAGCGGTTAGGTTTCTTCGCCTTCGCGATGTCGACGATGTTCTACACGTGCGCCGAAGCACTCCCCGTGTTTCTCCAGGAGCGTTACATCTTCATGAGGGAAACGGCTTACAACGCGTACCGGAGATCCTCCTACGTTCTCTCTCACGCCATCGTCGCATTCCCCTCGCTCATCTTCCTCTCCGTTGCTTTCGCGGTTACGACGTTTTGGGCCGTGGGGTTAGATGGAGGCCCAATGGGCTTTTTGTTTTATTGTTTGATTATTTTAGCGTCTTTCTGGTCAGGTAGCTCCTTCGTCACGTTTCTATCGGGGATCGTTCCGCATGTGATGTTGGGTTACACTATCGTCGTCGCTATTTTAGCTTACTTCTTGCTCTTTAGTGGGTTCTTCATCAACAGAAACCGTATACCGGATTATTGGATCTGGTTTCATTACATGTCTCTTGTGAAGTACCCGTACGAAGCGGTTTTGCAGAACGAGTTCTCTGATGCGACCAAGTGTTTTGTGAGAGGAGTTCAGATTTTCGACAACACTCCGTTAGGGGTATTGCCGGAGGGGATGAAGCTGAGGCTGCTTGATACGGTGAGCCGGTCGCTCGGGACGACGATATCTAGCTCGACTTGTTTGACCACCGGTGCTGATATTCTGACCCAGCAAGGTGTGACTCAATTGAGTAAATGGAATTGCTTGCTTATCACGGTGGGTTTTGGGTTCTTTTTTAGGGTTTTGTTTTACTTCTGTTTGTTACTTGGGAGCAAGAACAAAAGGAGCTGATGAGAGTTACACAAGAATGCAAAGAGACCCAAATCAAAACATACTTGTATTTTCTATTTGTAATTCCTTGAATTATTTGAATGTGAAATGTTTTTTTTTTCATATATGTAAAAGATTATGTTTTATGTATTCCCTTCCAAAGTATTTAGACAAAATAAGGGATTCCATATTCACAGAAACGAATTACAAAACACATTTGATTCTCTACTACATCTATGAATGAAGTATTTATAAACCTGAAGTGTCATACCTGAGAGTCTGAGACTATGTGTGGTATCAGACGATGATGATGCGAGAGACTTTGATTATCTTCTTTGTCCTCTTTAAGATCAAAAGATGTGATGAACAAACATTAACTCTCATGATGTACGAGTAAAAAAATCATTGACATCTAGATTTTTATCTCCATGAGCAACTGCATCTTCAGGTTCTGGCATGAAGAGACTCGTTGTTGACGCCTGCAATATACAAAACAAAAGTTCAGTTCTCATCCACATATCTTGAGAATAAAAGGAACTCAGTAACATTATGGAAAATTCAAAAGAAGACTTACCTTGGTATCAAGAAGCATATCTCCGTTACTCTCAACTATGAGGCTGGCGCCATGGGCTTTTAGCCATTCAGAACACACTTCCATACCATCGGTCTCCTTTTCACCAGTACCTTCGCTTGAAGTATTAGTAAACCCCAACACATAAGCTAAGTATGAAACTGGGATTGTAGGACGACAGCTCCGGGACATAACAGTCACTGCCTTATAACGCATCTTCTCCACATAGAGATCTGCAAATAAAACATGAAAAATCTCATTCTATTTTTTTCTTTGCATATCTATTCAAAACTCATCAAACATATCAAAAGAGTTATTATAGATGATGTGTCTCTAACCCATGAGGAAGCTGTTCATGTTTGGCGCGGTCTTGTAGAGTCTGAAAAACATAACATAATTTCCAGATGTAACAGCTGCACGAACTGAGAGTGCATGTCTAACTGCTTCATCCTTTTTAGCTTCCTTGGATAATCTACAGAACATATTCAGAGATTAAAAAATCACACAAATCCAATTTACTGGAGTAACATCTTCACATTTGCAGGAAGAGGTGTACAAAAAAACGATAAGAAAGGTGGAGTGAACGTTCGTTAACTCCAATACTATTCTCAGTTGGTCACTCACGAAACTTGTTAGCAAACACTATTCTGATATTCCAATAAACTCCAGTATATCGAAGTTTATCGTGAAGCGTTATACTGAAATATAGAACAGAGGAAATTTAAAAGCACTAACCTGGACATAGATGAAAGTAGTTCTCGGTTATTGTTAGAGTGTAAGGTAATATAGAGCAGGCTATACGCAGCAAATTCCAGGGAGCATCCTTCTATACCTTCGGCATATAAGATTTTCAACTGTGACAGGCACTGCAAGAACAAAAAAAAACCAATTAAGCAACTAAGCAAGACAACAAATGCCCTGAGATTTATGGTACGTCTCTCCTCAGGAATATACAATAGATGCATTTTACAAGACTTGATTCTAGCAGTGGTTAGTACTCTTTCGATTTGGAGAAATGTCAAAACTGTTTTCGATACCGAATCAGATCTAGACAATCTGGATGTTACTATTCTGTAATATGGAAAATTTGTGCAAGCGTACCAACCTGATTGTACTCGGGTAAATCCCCAGCTTCCAAAGCCAATCTAGCATGTGTTTCATAGACCTGAAAGAACATTGAACATGAAATCATCATAAACATGCTCATTGGATCCTACGTGCAAGAACGCTCAAAATCAAATGGAATTCAGTAATATACCTTCACTGTTAAATGATTGTGTATCCGCTGTACTGTGAGGTCTTGGCGAATAGATTTTAGCTGATCACACTTGTAAAGATAATTCTTCTGAGAATCCTGAACCATTAACAGAGCTTTTTCCAGCACATCCTCTGGTCTTACCTGTGGTTACCAATAAAGTCAATCAAAACCATCAGTCAGGGTATCAAAAACATTACTAGGTATAAGATAGTGATACTTACCGCGGAAGGATCCGGTGCAGAAGTGAGACGGAAATAACGTTTCTCAATTTCCTGGCAAGTTCCTTTAACAGTTAGTGCATTCCAATCAATGTCTTCCACAGATCTGCAGCCACTTTCATCAAAATCTTCCCCAAGTCGCAGTGCAGTGCCTCTTCTAGAATGTAAATTCCCCACATTATTAGGTCTAGGAATATCATTCCTTCGGCTGTTCCCTTGAACTTTCTCAAAACGCTTGGAACGACTATCACGCCGCTTTGTTTCCTCGGCAGAAGTAGCAAGTGACATGGGGCTGGATTTGTAAGGTGTCAGATCCTTGTCACTATCACTAGATGCCCCATCATCAATGGCAGTAGCTACTGCACCACCAGAAAAACGCTGTCGCTTGACAGGCCGCTGGAAGCTCTTTTTTGCTGAATTTTGCCAAGAGTAAGTGGACTTGGAGTCAGTGACAGCATCCGACTTTTGATAACTCTCAAAGCTCTGCAAAAATTTTAATTAGATCCGTCAGAAAATTTCTAGTAGCTAAATACACATTCAACCAACAGCTAAATGCTTTCTTTTCATTTGCTTTGACCAGACATAAATAAAAGTATAACTAGTGTGTCTAGCAGCAGCAGCTCTTTACAATTAACAAGGCAAGAATGTTAACCTTTTTGTTATTTTGATTTTGCGGATTCCAACCTCCAAACTTAACACCACTGCTGAAAGTTGAAGGTGATTTGACAAATGGTTTTTGCACTAGCGGCTCCCATCTACTTTTGGGACGTTTTGTTGGGCTCTTATTTTGCAACGAAGATACAAGAGTGGAGCTCGACCTGCAGCGCAACGTAAAACTTAGTAACAAATCATATGAAGTAAATGTTCCAAAACATATAACAAAGAATAGAGAAAGTAATGGATCATGCATGCTGGAGCTAAGGAAGAAAAACAGAGCCATACTCAATGTTAGTCACATCTGTGTCAAGAACAGTTGAGAGAGGCTCGGTATCCCAATCCCGAGTATGGAGAGTGCCATCATCCCTAGCTTCCGTGATGACCTAGAAATACAAATATAAGCATCAGCATGCAAAGCAACCCAGACAGTATTCTAATAACCGCAAAATTGACTTCTTGTTCCCAGAAAAAGGCATTAAAACATCTTCACCATACTATACAGCTATTCGGAAGATTAAGCCGAAGAAATTCATTCAAATATGGCATTAATATTAAGATTACTAGAATCATGCTTAAATGGTGTTATATCCGTGCGTCCACAATTCCTACTAACGTTTACCTTCTTCAGGGCAACCTGGCAAGATGCCTTTTCTTTATCATCTTTGCAGCGTGCAAAAGCTCTCTCGACAAACCCACAAAGCGATTTCGGTAAGGTTCCAGGCTAAAAGCAACATGATTGTTTGTTTTCGATGTCAGTCAGAAACAGAAAATTTACTCAATACATCAATTTACAGTAGGCAACAGTTAATATCTACTTTCAGTTACTAGGTATTCAGGAATTAAAAAAGGAGCCTTACCTCAGGAACAGCAGTGGCATGGCCTTTCGGCTTTGGCATTGAAACACTAACATATGCAGGTGTTTGGGTTGCACCGGCTGCTGAATTACTTTTATCCATTTTGGTATAACCTGATGGCAAATTTGAAGCAATTCTAGGGTTAGATGGAATCTGTACTTTGCTTACCCTTTGAGTATCCACTGACGGTGTAGTCTGAGTAGGCTGGCGATAGCCTATCGGGGCCTGATGAACGGAAGACTGTGAGTTCATTTCTTGAGGATATGTAGCTCTCTGGTGACCCTGAAAGGGAGTCTTATATAAGGGTTTCGTCTCCAGAGGACTCTGGTAATGATTCTGTGGAGGAACGGGGTAATGAGCTTGCTGATTTTGTGTTTGATGCATCCAGTAAGCATCATTAGAGGCACTCACCGCAGCAGCAGGCTGAGAAAAAAAAATGACAGCTTAGTTTTCTAACTAAAAAAAAAAAGACTCCCTTGAATGAAAGCAATCAGTGACCATGTCTAAACTATCTGTACATAACTATTTTTTAATAACTGATTCTATAGCCTAAAGAACAAAAATTAGCCACGCTTAGGGAAAAGGATTAGAAACTCAAGTAAAAGCTTAAGAACACAAATATCCTATACACCCATCAAAATAGAATCTGAACCTGCTGAGAAGGCGGCTGGGATAAGTCGGTTTCCTGCCTCCAAGGTTGGGCATAAGACGGAACAGGTTGGCCATTTGAAGCAGGAATTTCATTAGTAACACCAGGAACTGGAAAGCTCTGACTAGCTGCACTAGTGGCAGGCAACTTTTCCGTCCCCGGGGCACATGGGACTTCTGTTTGACTGTAGTAAGCTGGCCACTGTTGGTAGTTCTGTTGATAATGTACAGGTGTAGTGGTTGCAACGGTAGAGCTATGAGTGTTTGCAGCGTCAGCAGTATAACTCTGATAAGGGTTTGATGTATAGTTTCCCTGGTTTGATGTATGGTTTCCCTGGTTTGATGTAGGAGTCTGATTGCTGTAATTTGTACTTGGGTAACCTCCAGCTGTTTGGTTGTTATAATTTGTACCTTGGTAACCTCCAGTAGTCTGATAATCAGCAGGATTGTAGTAAGTTCCTGAATAACTTGGAGTCCCAGCATAAGATCCTGGATTCTGAAATGATGAAATAGGCTGATAAGGAGCACCTGTGTTTTGATACGCCCCTACAGGCTGAGGATATGACTGGCTTGGTTGCTGCTGTTGGTAGCCACTGTAGTAATTGGAATATACCGTGTTTGAGTAGTTTTGCGGTGGATCACTAGAAGTCTGGTATGGCGTATATCCACTATAATCCTGAGCTACATTTGCAGTTTCAGACGTGGATGAGCTAGTGAAGGGTGCAGTATACGGTGTTTCTTGCACATTCCCTGTGGGTGGCACTGTAGGCTGTGGATGGTAATAGTTTGGATTTGAATAGTTCCCATTCCCATTCTGCACAACCTGATTGTCCACCCTAGGTGCTGTCCATGAGGCACCGTCCGACCCAGTTGAGTACTGATATGGAGATATCTGCACTTGGCTTCCATCAACACCATATCGTTGCTGCGAGAAATAAATAAACGCGTTAGTAGTGGCAAAACTGAGTACTTATCCACCACAAGAACAAATAAACAAAAAGAAGTCTAAAAGTGAGAAGAATCACATAGACAAACAACAAACAAAAAAAGTCATCCCAAATCAAAACTATATCTACAACTCGAGATGCTAGTAGAAACTCGCAAAAATTCATGCAGTAAGTGACCAACAGCTAAAAGTCTTAAGCTATTTAACCAAACCTAACACTTGATATAATTTTCTGTAACCAAAAAATACTCTTCATCTTAGATTTTTTTTTTGTTAAAGGTAACCTAGTAGTGAAAACCATAGATTTCACAGCCATAAAAAGTCAGGTTCTTCTGCCCACATGTCTACCAGTGATGAGCCAAATCATCTCTAATCAGGATTACATCAAAACTAAAAACCACCAAAACCAATTCAATCCAGCAAGCAACAGAAACCCATACGTTAAAGGACTAAATTTGTGAATTCAAAAACCTTAGCTTTATTGATGATTACCTCAATGGAATTAGGGTCAAGTGGTGGTGCCACGGTCTGAGTATTCCCTCCTTGATTCATTCTACCATAAACCTCTCTGCGAATTAAAAAAAAAACATACAATCAATACGAGCCAGAAAAAGCCTTAAATAGCAAAACAGAGAAACAATTTGTAATACCAGTAACGCTTCTCTTCTTCTTCTTCGTTCGGTTGAAGAATCGAATTGAAATAGTAAACGAAGAATAGAGCAGGATTTGAGATCAAACAGTAACAAAATAAAACGAATAGAACCAAACAACAACAAAAAGGTAAAATAAAAAAAAATTAAACGAAAGCAAATGCGCAAACGAGGACGGATTTCAAATCTATGGAAAGTACAGAGGGCGACGGCGAAAATCGAGGAATCTGGCCGTAATGAAACTATATGGTAATATGTTTGTGCCGGAGACGAAGAAGTTCTATCAATTTATTACGATGTTTTATTACTGCTCTCGGGTCGGGTTTGACTCATTCGGGTTTTTATAAAGCTTTTCTCGTTCGCAATTTTTTTCATTTATAAGGCCCAATGGGCTTAGCGAGGCGATTGAAAACTTGGAGAGTAAACGGAGTTTAAGAACTAACCTTTGTGTTTCAGAAAAACAAAGCAATCTTGTTTTCATAACAACACAAGCAAAATAAATATTTATTTTTGTTAACAAAGTTAATATTATGTTTCTAAGTTTGAAAAGTAAATCGAAGATTCTAGTGTTATGGGAGTCGCATTATTGTTCTTTGTACTTAACAAAAAAAAATCACTTAGTGTTTTTATTGTGCTAAACCATTTATATCTGCATTTTTTTTTTACTTATATATCTGCATTTGTTATGTAACTGTTATATGCTATAGTATTATATTTGGCTTATTATGGACTTATCCAAATCAATTATTGGATTTTGTGGTAGCTGTCCCTCGTGTTTCACGAGTTGATTAGAACGTATAGAGTTAACAAGTTGTTAATTAGAGATGATGAAAACAAGACGCCAAAATAATTATAATGGCAACAAACTTGTCAGGCAATGTCGATAAATACACATATTTGGACATCAATAAGGTTCATCTCCTTCATTTGTATAATTAATGTATTCATCTCTTTCATTCCCAACCAGAGCTTAAGAAATTACTGGTTATCTCCCTCTATATCTCTCTCACTCACTTAGTTTTTGAAGTAGTTTATGTATATGTTTCAAATTTTGGTAGCTCACATGCTTATCAATTTTATATGTTTTGTGAAGCCAACAAGTGTTATAGAAGTCATTCCAACTCTGCAAATTAGAACTCTACATATACATCAAGTTTCGTTTTGTAAAATTTTATATAATTACTACTCATTTGTTTATATAAAATATATATATTCGTATGTATAATCTTACTTTTGTAATCATTTGCAAACATGAAACAAGGTCTCTCTTCTTTTTAGATAGATCGCTGTTTTCTGTTCTTGTTTGATAGAGTGGGAAATTTAATGTATGTAGTGGCATATCCGAACCGAGCAGTAGAAAGTAATAAGTTTTTGATATGCCACTATACACTATATTGGTTAGTCATGAAGTGATGTTCATATATCTATTATTGGTATATTATTAAACCAGTGAGGATATAAGTATGTTGTATCATATCATGCAACACAAAAGCTCCACATATGATCTAATTTGTATCACAAAACTAACTGAACTTATTTTATAATCTTATAGTAGTAGAACTTGAAGAAAATATTGGTGGATACGTTACAGAAAAAACAATATTTAATATATTTTGTAGGATCTATGGCGAGGATGTACCGGAAGTTGGCAATATGCGGTGGTGAAGGAGGAAGTGAATGGGACGACGATGTATACGAAGGTGTAAGAAAAGTGTATGTTGGGCAAGATCTCTCACGTATCACTTACATCAAGTTCGATTACGTGAAGGTCGACGGAGAATTAGTATCACGTGAATATGGGACAGAACGTCAACACCCTAAAGAGGTTCTCCACTGCCAATTTTTTTTTATTTTCACCTTCTTAATTTTATACGTCAATAATTTCTTTTTGAGGTCAATCATACATAGTTTATTTCATGTAATTAATTGATGATTAAATAATTAAATATTTGTAACACATATAGTTTGTAGTTCAATATCCGGACGAACACATCATAGCGGTGGAGGGAAGCTACAAAAAAGTGGGTCTCTATGCCACGGACGTGATCACGTCTCTCGTTTTCAAGACCTCAAAAGGTAGAAAGTCTCCAACGTTTGGTCCAAACTTGCTGGGACTTGTGAGTGGTACAAAGTTCGTTTTTGAGGATCAAGGAAAGAAGATCGTAGGGTTCCATGGACGGTCTGGTGATGCCCTCGACGCTCTTGGAGTTTACTTTGTGCACGACTCTCCCACCACAATGTTGTCTCTTCTTTACAAGCTGGATGCTCAAGGTGGTTCAGAGGGACGTGTGTGGGATGATGGCTCTTACGATGCCGTTAAAACGCTGCGCATCTGTCAAGATGATTGTCGTATTACTTATTTAGAGTTTGAGTACGACAAATGTGGGAAGTCAGAGATATTTCACCATGGGGTAAAAGGAGGAACACCATCCGAGGTAATTTCTATTAGTTATATTAGACACGATTGGTTCAATACAAAAAAAGTTTATATGTGGAAATGTAAAACAACAAATATTTAAGTACCAACGTGATTTAGTGATTCTGAGAGTTTCATAGCTGCTAGTTTGACCTATCTGAGAGAGGAAACTTTGTAATATAATAATTTCGCTAAGTTAGTCTTGTAAGTTTATTTTACAAAGTAAATAATTTGCCTAAGGTGATTTTTACATTACTAAAACAATATCTTTTTCTTATACATTAAAATTAAGTTTTCTAATAATTACATGGAAATATATTCAAAACCATTTTGTAATCTACGAGATCTCCAAACATTAAACTTAAACATTTACTTAATTTTGACTTTTGTTGTAGTTTATGCTTGATTTCCCTGATGAATACATCTATTCCGTGGAAGCAACCTATGATAAGCCAAAACTTTTTCAAAATACGGTCATCACGTCGCTCACCTTCCAAACATCAAAAGGAAAAACATCATTCTTTGGGTATAAAGTGGGTAAGAAATTTGTTCTTGAGCAAAAGGATCGTCGACTTATTGGATTCCATGGGAAAGAAGGTGATGCTATTGATGCTCTGGGAGCGTATTTTGCACCTATTCCTGCTCCTACTCCTTTGATTCCAGCCAAGAAACTACCATCCGTAGGCGGCAATGGAGGTGTTACATGGGATGATGGTATCTATGATGATGTAAGGAAAGTATACATAGGCCAAGGTAACGATGGTGTATCCTTTGTCAAGTTTGAGTACATTAAAGGCACAAACTTGGTATCGGGAGATGATCATGGGAAGATGACATTACTTGGATCTGAAGAGGTCATTTCCATTACCAAATACGATTTTTTTTTCAGCTACTTCACTAGATTCTTACACTTATCTTTGTTGCTTTTGAGGATTTTCAGTTTGTTCTTGAAGACGGTGAATATCTCACGGCCTTGGTAGGTTACTACGATAAGATTTTCGGAGTGGATGAACCAGTAATTATCTCTCTTCAGTTCAAGACGAACAAAAGGGAGTCAAGTCAGTTTGGAATGGATTCTGGTGAGAAGTTCACTCTCGGGGAGAATGGCTATAAAATCGTTGGGTTCCATGGACAAGCTAGTGATGTCATCCACGGTGTTGGAGTCACTATCATTCCCATCACCACCACCTAGTGAAAATAAAACCTTTATTATCTTATCAATTCCAGCCAATCATATGAGTTGAATATTATCAATCATATTATTATGTCTTTGTATCAAAATTATATGTTTTATCTATGTATATTATGACTTTTATAAGAAAATAAAGTTTCTTTTACCATAATTTATAATAGAAAAATAAAGTTAATAAATTAGTTTTATTAACTTCTTTTAAAAATATACTTTATATCATTTATAAATAGACTATTAGTGAATCCATATAAATGAAAAAAAATATTATATAAAAATTTCATAATTGCTACGGTTAAATGTTATAACGCATAAGATTAGATGGATTGCTTAGTAACTAACATTAATAGGTTTTAGGATTGTCTTTATAAATATGACTAAAATAAATGAAAATTAAAAATTATTGACCAATCAAAATTATAACAATTTTCTTAAACTTTTGACACATAAGCAAAATCATTTGAGTGATTTCTCAATAAATATATAATAGAAATATATATCTATTTATATCATTTGTGTAATAGTATGAAGTATCTCCCGCAAACCTCCAAAACCGATTCTATTCTTGTAGTTATATCCACGTATTTAGATTTCTTGTGACATAATATTATTGCTCCTTGTTGCCTTTTGTGCTTGACTTCCTGGATGAATACATAAAGCAGTGGAAACAATCTGTGATAATCCAAAGCTTTCATAATAATGTCATTACCTAGCTAAAGTTGGAAACATCTAGAACATCAATATTCGGTTATGACGTGGGTAAGAAGTTTGTGCTAGGGAAAAAAATGGTTACTGGTTTCTCCTTTGTCACATTAAAGGCACAAAGTTGATATGTTGGACCATGGGAAGATGACATTACTCGAGTTTCATGGATAAGCTATTGATGTTGTTCACATTTGTAGATTGGGGGTCAATGTCGTGTTCATGATCATCACCACAATCACCGAATGAAAGCTTTCTATCACATTAATAAAACCAACCAATCATGTGGACAGAATGAAACTTTCATCAGTTAAGATTGGTGTGTGTTCTCTTTACTCTTCTACTTTGAACGTGTTTCTTTGGAATAATTAATGTTTTAGTGGTCCATTTATCTTCTAAACTAATTACTCTCTTACTTTGCAGCCATACATTTTCGTATTTCTCCAATCAATTTGATTTGATTCTAAGAAAATAAAATCCACGTGCCAATTAGTTTCATTAAATTCTCTGATCAGTTTTAGTATTTTAGTTAGTTGAATTTCTCTTCCATTTCATTTTATTTATCGTTTTATATTTGTACACAGATTAAAAAAATATTTAATTTTACATATGTTTTAAATAAAAACATCATTGCTATAAACATAATTACATTTCAATCAATAAAATAACATAATAATATATATAAATTAAAAAAATTATATTAAAATCATAAAATAACATTTATTCTAAAACAAAAATTTTATTCAAAACAACAATAAATTGAATCAGAGTGGGTAATAAACAAAAACAACCATTTATCAACAAAATCCATCAAAATTTATTACCACTTTGTTTAATTCTACTATAATACACTTTTATTTTATTGTTATCTTTATCAAAACCATGTACCTATTCAAAATACAAAAGATTAAAACAACTGGAAAAGCCCACAATTAGTTTTATATAATTTTTTAATGTTATAAATCCACTTTTCTCTATTAATTATCATTTTTAATCTCGAAAAAAAAGGCAAAACACCCAAACAATTTCGAGTGCTTGATAACCAAACAACTAACACAATTGGGCCCACGATAAGAAAAGCTAATCGGGCCGCTTCTCTGGAAAGGCTTTTATCCAGCGCATTTCCATAAGTACCCTTTATCGATAACCCTAATTTCGGAGAAAACCATTTGTTTTGTCGTCACCCTGTCTTAATCGAATCTCTGTTACAAAATAGTGCGTACGTACTTAGTTTAACGATCTTCAAGTCTACGTAAACTAACGCCGTCAGAAGCAAAAAAAAAACCTCGATTACCGTTTCGGTGTCTTCACCGTTTTTTTTATTCAGTTTCCCTCCATCTTCTGAGAAGATTCTTCTCGATACTCGATTCTGAAGAATCTCTCTAACTTATGGTATAACTTCATAACTCCATCGATAGTTCTTTTTTTTAATTTTTGTTTTCAATGTTCTTCAGTTTCTCCGCCTTTGGGACTTATGTTAATTCGATATTCTTGAAAAGATGCTCTGTTTTGGGACGTGTCTAGGGTTTTTAGTAGAGGGTTGTTGTAAGGGTGTTTTAGTCTTTTCTTTGAGTTGCAACAGTAAGTCGATGTTTACGGATCTGTCAGAAACTCTCTGACAATTTCGTTATATTTTAAAAAAAAAAAAGTCTGAGGCGATCTTGATCTTGATCTTGGTTCTATTTTTAACCTATTATCTCATCAGTCAAAAAAGCTAAAAATGATGATGGTTGAATCATTCTCACTTGAAGAAGCAAGCAAGTAGTTTAAGTAGGTTTCACTTTGCAACACTCTTCTCTGCTCTGTTCTGTTTTTTTCTTCTTCTTCTTCTTTTTATTAATTAGCAAACACTTTGTGTTACTGTTTCATGATTAACCATGTCTAATCCTTCCATGTAGCAAATCAAATCAGTATTCACTTTCTATGACCTCCATTTTTCCTTACTCTTTTTGTATTATTAGTTTGCTTCTTTTTAATAACATATAGTTTTTGATTCCAGCTTGCCTTGTTTGATACTTGGAGATACATTCATACACACCAATGAAGAAGCTTTTCTTTTTCAAATCATCATCTGGTAATGATAAACAAACTCGCCGTGGAAAAGAATCAGAAGCTAAGGGTGTTGCCTTGAAGTCTCAGAGCAGCCAGGCTCTTAGAAGAAGTCATTCTTTTTCTTCAGCAGCTTTTCTCGTTGATGGAGCTTCCTCAAATGATCCAAACGCTACAAAACAAAGATACCATTCATCTCGGTATGTTCTTTTTCTTTTGCTTCTGTCTTACTCTTTTGTTGTCATAAAGATCTCAATATCAAAACTATAAACAATTTAACAAGAGTTTTTATTAGTTTTTTTTTTTACAAATTTGGAGTCTATATTATGTAAAATTTTGGGAGCCATAAGCCAATGCTTCACTAGTCTTTTTTGGTGAATTTTTGTTTATTAACTTGATTCTAGTTTCAGATGTTTTACACCGGAGAGCCAACAGAAAAAACAAGAACAAACTCACAAGTACAAAGTACATGATTCATCAGGAACTTTATCAACTTGTTCTAGTAATGTCTCAAGCCAAGTCTTGGACCGTTTCATTGATGGAGAAGAGCATCATCATCATCATCATAAGCCAACAAAGACCGGTTCTTCAGGGAGCAGCATCAAAGGAAGGAAGCATCATCCTTCTAGATTTCAAATCCATTCACCAACATTATCAGACAACAATGTCAAAGAGAGACGACACTCTGACAACCGTATAAACGATGCATCAGCACGTTCACTTGCAAGAAGTGTCATGGAAAGACTCTCGCACACTCACGGAAAGTCAAAGGCCTTGAGTTACGGCGCACAGGATTTGGATGTTTTCGCCAATCTTCTTCCATTGGCTGAACACATACATAACGGTTATTACAAGGATGACCACGTGGAGGAGCAAGAGAAAGAGAAGGAGAGGTTCTTGCACGGTAAGAACAGAGGAGGAGATGTTAACTCTGAGCTAGAGAAGAAGTATAAAGAAGCTGAGAAGAGAGTGAAGCTTCTTTCTCAAGAACTAAACGAGCAGAAGTGTGACTTTGATGATGTTAGACAAATAGAAGAGGAGAGAGTAGGCTTAGCTTTTGAAGTCTTGAGCCTTTTGAGGTCACAGATGGATGAGAGAGCTTCTGCTAAGGAAGAGATCAAACGAGTAAAAGCTGATTCAGAGTTGCATATTCAGAAACTAGAGAAAGAGAAGAGCGAGTTACAGTTTGGTTTGGAGAAAGAGATTGATAGAAGGTCAATAGAGTGGACTTCAAAGCTAGAGAACTTCCAAACAGAGGAGAAGAGGTTAAGAGAGCGTGTCAGAGAGCTCGCTGAGCATAACGTCTCACTCCAGAGAGAAGTAGCAACGTTTCATGAAAAGGAAACCGAGCGTATGGATATGTTAAGAGACATGGATGAGAAAGTCACTGAGCTGAGTGGAACAGCAGAGGAAACGCGTCAAGAGAATGTGTATCTTGTCCAAAACCTCTCCAAGTTGCAAGAGAGTTACACTGACGCGACAGAAGATCTTGATTGTGTGAGAAGAATGTTTGAAGAGAAAGACATGGAGTGTAAGGAGCTGCACAAGTCTGTTACTAGGCTTGTAAGAACCTGTAGGGAACAGGAGAAGACTATTCAAGGACTTAGCGATGGTTTCTCTGAAGAAACTAAGAAGCAGCAACCGTCAGAGATGAGCAAGAAGTTTCAGACAGAACAGATAAGATTGTCAGGTGTTGAGTTCTCACTTAGAAAAGAGTTAGAATCAATGAAGCTTGAAGCTGAGACTCTTCGTATAGAGAATACTTGTTTGCGGAGTAGAGTAAAAGGCTCCCATGGAGAAGAAGAAGGAGATGCCACTATGACCACCTTGAAGCTAGATAATGAGATGAAGATGCGTGTATGCCTCTTACAAGACCAAGGAGTCTCAATGTTAAATGAGAGCATGCAGGTATGTTACAAGTTATTGAAGTTCATCAAAGGGAACTTAGCTCAAGACTTGCATAATGGAATGAGTGAGCAGTTTCTGATTGAATCTGAGATGAATGTTCATGGAATAAGACGTGGTACTGAAAACCTGAAGAGAAGTTTGCAGACTGTCACCAGCTTACTCCTTGAAAAGTCCAATGAGATTGCATCAAACTCAGAATCACCTGCTAGGCCTACCCATCCAATCAACCAATCTGTGGAGGTGAGTTTCTCCAGTGTCCAATAAATAAGGCGACGGTTAGCCGTTTTATAGAGGATTATTGTTTATACGGGCGTCTAGACCGATTTTTTTAATATTACTAATATTCATTTAAAGTTTATTACATGTTTGTTCTGTGCTAAGTGTTTCACCTTTTTTCTGGTTTTAGAAACTCCTGAGAGCTGAACTAAGAGCAGAGAGTCTAATCACGAGTTTGTTAAGAGAGAAACTGTACTCCAAGGAACAAGAGATCGAGCAGCTTCATGCAGAAGTAGCTACAGGAGTACGTGGCAACGAAGTTTTAAGACGTGAAATCCAAAACGTCTTAGACAACCTTTCAGTACACGCCCACCAATTAAAAGACCTCAAGCTTCAGGTATGTCAGTTTTTTTTTTCTTACTTTATTTTGTTGCTCATGTGGAGTTTTATGACTTATAATATATGATGATTTTTGACATTAGATGGTGAAGAAGGAAGAGAATGTGAACAGGCTTGAAACCAATCTCCAAGAAGCTGCAAAACAGTTGTCTAGTATGAAAGTTACATTACCGAGAGTGATGGAGGAAAAGGAGCAGATGTATAAGGAAGTGAATGAGTGCAGAAAGAGAAACATGGATTTGGAGTCAGATAAGGAGATGTTGAGGAAGGAGGTTGAGAGATTGGAAGAGGAGACACTTTACAAGGAAGGTCAGATCACGATACTGAAAGATACACTTGGAAGCAAGAAATTCGATCTTCTCTCGGGTGCTGACTTATTTAACGATTTCTTGGTCCAATAAGACGAAGGAAAATAAATGTACAGGCGTATGCTTCTCATGCTCTTGTGTTTAGGGCTTGTAGGGTTTGATAGATGATGTTCTGTCTTTTAGTCTGTTTTTAGATTTGTTTTGTCTTTTAAGTTTCTGATTTGTACTTGGCTCAATAAGATTCACCATTTGTGAACAAACATAAGTGGTTTGCTAAGGTATTTACACAAAGACTATTGCACCATGATTAGGTTTTTAAACCAAATACTATTCCATAAGCAAAGCCAATCTACACGTTCTCAAACCACCAGCACTTCTTTCTACCTGCTGATCAAGCATTTCCCTCTAGCTTACTGCTCAAGTAGCATTCAAATTTTTGCGCTCTTGTACAGGCGATGACTTAGACACTCTCCATCAATGCAAATATCAAAAGAAAACCAATAGATGAACTACTATTTCAGTAGTATTTTCCATATCTTCCTGATTTTAAACGATTAGAGACCAAACCGATAGTCCTGCTGATACATAAATCAAAGCCAACACCGGAAGCTACGAGCCACGCAGCATAGCTATCCCGGCTGTCATCTGCGTGGCGGTTTTCATGATTCAGTAAGAACAGAAACAAAACAAAACTCTTACATACCACAAGATCAGAGATAGATGTTGGTTCTAAAAGCTCTCCAGTTTTTAGATGCAGCCCACTCTCTTACTTCAAACATTGTAATATACATGAATACATATGTATCACGCCTTGCCTTGTAAGTGAACATTAAGGAATACAATCACTTCTATTCCTACCTCCCTCAAAAGCAGAACAGAGTTTCAGTCAGGAAAATATGATGAAAATTCCCACAAAAAAAAAATGATGAAAAAGCCTTACGTCTACCAAGCTTAACCTCCATCAAAACAAGAACATCGTTTTTTTTGGTTCTTAGTACATACATAGCCGAATAACCGAGATATGAAAAGTGCACAAGTGGCTGCCCACTATAGCAAGGGTACTCGGATCACCAACCTAGAGAACAAAACGGAACTTTGAAAACATCCGACTGAAAACGAAGTTTGCCGAGTTGTTTTAATCTTCATCAGCTGGGCTGAAGTGAGTCAGGTAATCCATTGTCTGGAAGAAATTCCGCTGTCCTACCTGACCAAGCATTGCATTAGTCTCAGTACTGCCTTTGAGCTTGGTAGCAATCGCAGCCAACTTTGGAAAATTTGCTCCCATCATCACCTCGGTTTCATGAGGTGGGTTCAGGATCCTGAAAAACTGTGGCATATTGCTAGCCAAGACTGCTCTTAAAGCTTTCTCAACGTTCACAATTTCCGCTCTCATTTCTGGGGCATAAAGAAGAGGTGACCTTGGTATCAGCAGTGTTTCGACGATGTTAATGAGAGTGTTCATCTCATACCAGCCTAGGATGCAGCACACATACGAACAAACACTACCCAAACGCGAGGTGGTCAGAGCCCTCTTCTCGATGATGCATTCAGTTATCCGCTTTCTCAGCCCAAAATTCTGCCCAAAGATGGTCCTGTAAGTTTTTGCATGAAACATGTCATTAAATATCGTTTGGTCTTCATCTTCAGCTACTTCATAACCAGCAACCGCAAACAAAGCTTTCAGCGTGTTGATTGTGTAGCGTTGGTAGCTGTTCTCGTCGTTGATCTGTTTGAACAGCGTCAGTACCAAGTAGCCAAAAATAGCGTAAGCTTTGCTGGGGTGAATGCGGTTAATTGGGGCGTTATCCAGACCAGAGGGAACCCTAACTATAGTGAAACGATAGCCTCCCTCGCTTGCCAACTTGAGAAACTGGCGCAGCGTACAAACTGTTGAACGGTCGATCAAAGAACTTTAGGGTTCCAGAGACTCTTGTTCTTGGATCGATCAAAGAGTTTCTTGCGATAGCTTCTTTGAGACCAACTTCTTGATAAATGAATTTAATCAAATCTCACAAGGAATAAGCAAAAGCTCTATTATTAATTATCAAAGTCTGGTAAACATAAGAGACTCAGCTTCGTTTATATAACCTCTCCATTAGACAAACCCTAATAGGAAAAGGCATTATGATTTAATCGAAAAAAAGGAAATAATCATAATTATCTAAAAGAAAATAAAACTAAAACGAAAAATGAAAAGCTATTTGAATCCTCCATTGTTATCTTTATGTTGGTGCCATATTCGAAGATGCTGCTGCATCAGAAACTCATCTCTTCTGCTTGGGAATATGTTTGTTATACATCCAATAAAGTGTGCAGCGCGTGCCTGTTTGGATGTAGCTAGCACAGCTTGTCCAGCTTCGAGGTTCATTTGGAATGCCAAGCGATGGCTATCTCCGCTAGCGTCTTGATCTCCTGAGTAGATTGTACAGTTGGTATGGGCGAACGTAGGAGCATGGATGGTTGGGTCTGAAATGTTTGGATTAACGAATTTCACCGTGTAACCCCTCAGTGATTTCTCCATGATTAAAGAACTAGGAAGGGAGAATGTAAAAAGAACTGAGCAGCTCAGAAGAAGAAGAAGAAGAAGCGTTTTCAGTCAAGAAAAACGAGTATAGTCGAAGCCCATTAAAAGTAGGCCCATTTATTCATTACTGAACATTTAATTAGTTAGTAAAGTGGGATACAATTGAGTAAAAATACAGATCCGACTCATCTCTCTGAGTTTACCGGTGATCGGATCTAGCGATGGATGGTGGCGACGACATGGATTCCCTTTTCGAGGGGATGGAGCTATTTACGCCGTCTTCGTCTCAACTCAGCGACACTTCACCTGCAATTTTGCCGCCTTCAAAGGAGGCGGATGCGACACCGATCACAGCTCCCGCTCCGCCTGCAGAGGAGACGGAGGCGATGTCTGAGCCTCTGGACGAAGATATGTTCTCAGACTTAACAATAGTGACTCCGATCCAACACGTACCTGAGCCAGTTACTCACCAATCTCCGTTACCGTCTTCCTCCTCCTCCGTGAAGCGCCAGGCGTCTCGGAGGAAGAAAAGAGCAGGCGGGTTAAGGATCGGATACGGTAGGCACGAAGTTAACGACGACGAAGACGACGATTCCGTCAGTCAACAATCTGCAGATTCCGTCACTCAATTATCAGATTCCGTCAATCAACTAACGGATTCCGTCAGTCAACAATCAGCCGATTCCGTCAGTCAAATAACGGATGATTCAGTTAATCAAGTAACGGCTGATTCCGTTGTTGATCAGCCGTTGGACACAGTCAAGGCACAGATCGAAAGGAAGCTAACACGAGCACGTGCCTCTGCAGCTTCCATCACTTCCTCACGCAAGAACGCTATTAGGAAGAGAAGGCAAGCATCTGAGAATCTCAGATTAGCTTCCAAAGCTCACGACGAGCTCGAGAAGCAGCTTGAGGAAGCTATTGACGCTGAGGATTTCGATGCGGCTGAAAAGATCAGCGAAAGACTAGCGGATGCTGAAAGAGATAAGCTTTCTCAAACGGGATTGCTACGTCAAGCGGAAGCTGATTGTGATGCTGTTGAGTCAAAGATGGAGGAAGTCTTGCTTTCTCAGATTGCAGCTGAAGAAGAATCCGCCTCTCTGCTTCGCGGATTTTGCACTGTATGTCACAAAATCATTGTTGTTACTGTGATTGTTAACTCTATAGGATGCTGAGAATGATGCTAGGAGAGATTATTTAGTGTTTATGTGATTGTTATCTCTATAGGATACTAAGAATGATGCTAGGAGAGATTCATAAGCTTTACTGTGAGTCTGTGATTGTTATCTCTATAGGATGCTGAGAATGATGCTAGGAGAGATTCATAAACTTTACTGTAATTGTTATCTCTATAGGATGTTTAGAATGATACTAGGAGAGATTCATAAGCTTTACTGTGATTGTTATCTTATCTCTCTAGGGTGCTGAGAATGATACTAGGAGGGGTTCATAAGTTTTTCTTTGATTGTTATCTTATCTCTATAGGATGCTGAGAATGAAGCTGAGTCGATACTGGAAAAGGCAGATGCATTTTGTGTAGAGGAAACGGGGAAATGGAATTCGTGTTGTGAAGATGTAGAGTTCAGAAAAGTTGAGCTTGATATAGAGTCTGTGATAGTTGATAACGTGAGATTGTCATTGAATGATACACTTGAGGGATCTGTTGAGCAAGAGATGAAAGAAAAGGAGATGCTGCGTAAGAAGAAAGAGCATTTGTCTGATGAGCTTGAGGAGCTACTTGCTCTGGTGAAGGCAAAGGAGAAGGAGATTGACGAGAATGATTCCCAGATAAAGGCAGTTGAGGAGAGAATTAACAATGTGGTCTCTGGCTACAAGGAGTTGCAAACAAGCATGGATAAGATGTTTAGCGATTTGCAATCGGGTTTGTCCCAGATTGATACGGAGACTGAAGCTTTGTCAAGGAAAAAGAAAGATGTGGATGAGTTTGTGGCGTCTGAGAAGGAGAGAGGGGCCAAACTCCGTGAACTTGTCAGTGTTTCGGCAGATGAAGCAAATGACTATGAGGAAGTTATCAAATTGCGGAAAACTCTCATGTCATATGTGTCAAAGACTAGAGAAGAGAGAGCCAAGCTTGTAAGTATTGAAGAGAAGCTTTCTGAGGAAGTCCAGAGGCTACAGGAGGAGGTTTCCAGTACCCGAGAGTCACTAAAGGTATTTATCTACTTTGTCTTCTTATTTCTTCTGTTCTGCAACATGATATATTATGAATCTTGTTCCACCTCTTTCATTTATGAACAAGATTATACACATGGATATCTATAATTACTTATCCACAAAGTGCATATTATTCGAAAAGTCTGGTGGTACATGTTTTAACAGGTCATGTATGCTCTGAAAAAAGTGCTTAATGACTATTTAAACAATATGGTATTGAATCTTGTAAATGTCATCTTGCAACTTCGGTGTACAGTTTTAGTTCTTTGCCATTAGTATTTTGTATAAGACCTTATTGATCTTGTCTCTTTTCTTACAGGAGCAATCTTCTAGAAAGTCGATCATCCAACAGAATATTACATCTTTCATGGATAAAATTATGTTCATAGAGAAAAGGATGCCGGAGCTTGAAGCAGAGAAGAAAGTGGCTGCCTCAACGAGAAATTTCAAAGAAGCTGGAAGAATAGCAGCAGAACTTAAGTCCTTAAATCTAGAAAAGGATAAGATACAGATCGAAACAGGACAAGCTAACTCTGAGCTCGAGAAAGCAGAGCAAGAGATTGAAGAAACAATCAAGAAGCTACAAGAGTTAGAGGGGTTGATTTTGTCGAAAGAAAAGGAATTATCTGTCAGCAGATTCCAGAGGTTGCGGATCGACAGTGGCACTGCAAAAGCCGAGAGATCAGCTGCTCTGGAGCTGAACGACCTCGAAGAAGCTAATCTTCTACTTGAGGAAGCACAGGAAGCAGAATCTGAAGCAGAGAAGCTTAAACTCACATGCGGTCTCAAAGAAGAAGACGAAGAAAAAGAAGAGGCTAAAGAATGTTTTGTCTCGATGGAACTTATAGCCACCTTTGGTCTGAAGAAACTACAAGAACTCGCAGAATCTGTTCCGTCGTAACTCTGAAGCTGCTTCAGGTTCAACCGTTGGGACTAAACATGCACAGAGATGATCAAGCAAAAGATTTAAATGGCGTTGTTGATGAGTCGACAAGGTTAAAGCTCATATACGTTAGTCCACATCGACATGTATGGTTTTGTTTTTTGGATCCGTGTTTGATTGATTTGTTAATGAAAGAAGAGAGTGCAAGCACTTGCAAGTTGCACCCAAACACTTTGAATACATTTTTTTGTACAAGAACCGAACTCATGCTTCTCAATGAACATTGCAAAAGATAAGCATTGGTTTCAGATAAAAAGAAAACCATTGTCAACTATCTATGGTGGACTTAGAATCCACACAAAAATTTTACTATATAATGTAGTCATCACTTGTGATGTAACAATAATAGAGACAAGTATCTCTTTTATTAACTATCTTAAGCATATGCACGAGGAGGATCGCTCGAGCAAAAGAATATAGGGACATAGAGACTAGGCTATTGCAGACTGTTTATCATCTTCAAGGTGTAACGCTCTAAGTAGTTTTGGCCATGACTGTGGGATTCCACCTGGTAATTCAAACTCAAGCAGCTTCCCACGCTTCCTGTAGAACTCCTCCACTGGTTGAGTCTGTGTGACAAGAGGACAAACATGTAACCAAAAACTGCTAAATTTTATACGAAAATTTGAAAGGACACATACCATTTTGTGGTAAACACGGAGTCTTTCCTTGACAACTTCTTCAGTATCATCAGCTCTTGTTATAAGCTTTGACTCACAGTTAGGTGGAGGAAGAAGCGGAGGCATATACATTCTAGGACTAGCATCCTCATCATCGCCACCTTTAATATCAATACATGCAACGTTATAGTTTGCGCCACACTCGCTACAAATCCTTCTCCCTAGACACTTAGCCAGTAACGCTTCTTCTCTTAACTTCAAGTTGATCACCAGATCAATATTAGTTACTCCCTCCAGTATTTCCTACAAGAGAGAAAGAAAACAGGGATGATGTTTCAACCAAAGAATCATTATCAATCAAATCTACCAAAAAGGTAATAAACTGCTCACCGCTTGAGTCACGGTTCTTGGAAAACCATCAAGAATGTAACCAGATTCACCCTTCTCTTTCCCAGCTTCAAGACGCTTTGATAACAGACTTATAATGAATTCATCAGGAACCAACTTTCCATGGTTAACAAGCTCCTTTAGCTATACACCAAATTCAGACAAATGTAAACAATGTTTCTCAGCAGACAAGACACAACAAACAAAATTATGTAATTTATGTTTCTAGATTATTCAGACACATCTTAGGATCATAGAATCTATTGACAACATAAAACAAAGAACAAAAGATCCTAAATTTGAAAATTCTAGGCTAACCTGAGAGGCGAGGAGACCAGAAGAGGAAAGCTCTTCGCGTACAAGATCACCAGTAGCGATATGAGGAACGCCGAGAAGGGTCGAGAGACGAGATGCGTATGTGCCTTTACCAACACCGGGACATCCGAGAAACACCCAATGAAAGTTTCTACCTTTGGAAGGAGACGGAGAGGGCGAAAGAGAGGTAGACTTTTCCAGCTCTGCCGCAGCTTCCTTGAGATCGATCTCAGGGTCCAGCGATGGACCATGCGGAGAAGAAGAAGACAGAGACCTAATTAATAATGAAGAAAGAGTATTCTTTTGGGCCGTCAACGGCGAGAAGAGCTTGAAGAGACGGTGAGAGACAGCCATGAGGAAGAAGAAGACAAAGGTGATGAAGAATAAGAATTGATTGTTTGTGTTGTTGTGTGCATCGTCTAAGGTTAAAGAAGGTAAGAGAGAGGCTTCGATGATCGGAGGAAAAGAAATGTAAAGTTTTCATTTTTTATTTATTTAATTATTATATTATTGACTCGTGACGAAAAAAACATGTCGTGTCTTTTATGTCACTGTCTCTCTTTTGATCATTTAATAAAAAAACGTGTCATGTCTTTTATGTTGTAGTCTTGGCAGCGAACGGCATTGGATGATTCTAGTTTGGGATCTGTAGTTAAAACTGACGCTGATACCAGAGTCCCCTATGTTGCAGATTCAGCGTATTTTAGGACTCTGGATTCTATTATTCAAGATCAAGCCTAATAATGCATCAGTTATCAAGAAGTTAAAGCAGCGTGAAGGTGGGACATGGAGGATCTGCGAGGTGTTAACTCTAGCAATGTGAAGCAGATACTGCCGTTTGTGAGGCCAAACTCAAAAGCTAAGAGATACAAGTAGCTGTTCAGGTTGGCCTCTCTGTTTCCTATCTTGTTATTTTGTATTTTGTTTTGCTCTTGTGGCTCTGCTCTCTTTCAGTATTTGACACCTTCTCTTATGCTCTCTGTTTTTATTTTTTAAGACCTACTTGTGCTGATATCCTAGTCTAACACAGTGGCTCTTGAAAGTCTTCCTTCCTGGAAAATCTGCCTATGAATTAGATGCAGACAGAAACTCAAAGGCCATGAAAAAGCACAGTTCCATAACACTTTTTCTGGAGCTCTACTATGCTGGAGTTATAGAAGATAGTAACATATTCATCAATATCAATCCTGAACATATTTGACACTTGTTGCCAGTTTTGCTAGGCAAATAACAGGTTCTTTTGTCTTCCTATTTCTTGAGACAGATAATCCAAAACTGGTAAAGGCTAAAAATGAGCTTAGCGATCACATACCCACTCACTGGAGCCCTATAACATGGAAGCCCAAAAACTAAACTTTAAAAGGTGTTTCTATCAAGAAATGAAAACATAGCTGCAGTACTATTATGGATATAAAAACAAGGTTGACTATAACTTTTTGTGCTTTTATGTTCGTCAGATTAATTTTCATCACTCCAATGTTCATTATGCTTACTTCTTCGTCCTTTTCGTTTCAAAGCTGTCGTTTCTGGTCGGAACCATAATAATACCCCAACTTGACTCTTTGGGTCTTGTTAGAAGAAGTCCAGGAGGCCAATAACAATAGATGGCATACAGTCTTTGGAATTTGTCATTTAACTGCTACGTATCAAACATAATCCAAAATCACGAGCTAGCTAATTACACCCTTCTTAAATTATGGTTAAAAAAAACAAAAAGCAGAGAGTAAATTTTGTTGCCAAGAAGTCAAAAGTGTAGTCACGAGCAGAGCAGCGACAAATGCGGAACAAAACAATCAAAAGACTCAAAAGCTTACTTAACATCAACTGCTCGGATTTGTGTTAAGACAAAAGAAAGAGCGGTGATTACGGAGACCAACAGTGACGTCGACCTCTCCCCCCGTCGGTGCCCAATCTCACCAACTTTATTTCTTTGCTCACTTTTTCTAACCTTATTTACAATTTATAAGATAATGTCGCATCCTCTACCATATATAACTACAGAGATACATTACCATTGTTGCTTAGTTTCTTAATAATACTATCCAATTGATTATGAATTGTTTATATAGTTCACTAACGTAAGAACATACATTGGTAGATAACTGATAATGAAATCAACATTAATAAATTGTACCATTAATTTTTATATATTAGTTTTACGTTAGTGAACAATAATCAATTCATGTGAATCACTTCTTCATGAGATTCTTGTTGCGACAAGAGTCCTATTACACCACTAAACATATTTTTTAATCATTGTGCTTCGTATCCTTTTCGCGTGATAGCAGCAATTTGTGTTTTTTTACTTTTCTTTTTGGGGTAAGATATGGAACTAATTTCTGGTTATTAGTCATATACTGGAAGTTGAAATAATATAGACAAGAAATAGTCACAAAATTTAAGAGACAAATAAATCAAGCCAAATTTTATCATGGTATCAGATTCCTATGGGTTAAGCTTTTGTAGTTTTTGGAGTGAAAAAAATAAGGTTTGTGATAATCTAGCCAAAAAATGAATGCCTGGATACACAAACCTACGTACCTAAACTATGAGATTACAGTTAGATATTAAAAGAAATATAGAGTAAATACAATTACACAATCAAAGCGATTGGTATCCATAATGAACATGATTTTCCTTGATTGTCAAGTGACTATGAGTAATATCAAACTTACTGGAGCTCGTGATTGCCCTTAATTAGTGTCATTGAATTTAATTTGAGATATGACCAAATCATACCACATGATCCACTAACAAGAAGAGTTCTAGGCATCTTATCAAGTATAAAGTACGCTGTAACATTGGCAATTACTCTTTGGTTATTCATTGTCTTTAGCTTTGGGATACCCTACCTACTGCACTTTTTTTTTTTTTTTGAATGAATCTACTACACATTTAATGAATGTGTTAAGCATTTGAGGGTAAAAGCCATACTACTATTTTATGTTTTTGGATCTTTTCACATTAGTTGTTTTTGGTTTCATCCATCCATTTGAGTTGCTGTTTGAACTGTGAGCACAAATATAGCCTTTGACATCATTGGCTTTGATCAACGTATTAACCATTTATTTATTGTTTTGAAAGCTTGTAGCAATCATCTTACTCAGACGCATATACCTTTTACCGTACATTATTGGTCAAGTCTTACTGAAAAATTTCTTCCTGGCTAACAGGAGGTGAAGTTTCCATGTTCGTGTAAGTATGACAGAGTTGACTACAAGCAGATTATTGGTCGTTGTATACAAATAAATCGTCTTAATCAATCATATATATGATATGCATGGTATGAAGAAAATATCTGTATTATAGGTCGTTGTATTAATATGTTACAACTTACAACCACCACCTTATCGTCCTTATCCCCACCATATTACATGATTGTAGAATGGCTTCTTAGCAAAAACACACACATCAAATCCTCAATTCTTTGGAATATTTGGCAGGTACACAAACATAATACTCCCTCTGTTTTATAATAAGTGTCATTTTAGGTCTTGGCACACAGATTAAGGAAATAATTAATTTTACATATTTCCCGTATAAAAACACAATTACCTATACATCTCAACCAATAGAAGAATGAATTACAGAATAAAATCAATAAATTTTGCATAAAAAACCGAAAATGACACTTATTTTGCAACGAAAAAAATTGTCTAAAGTGACACTTATTATGTAACGGAGGGAGTAATACATTTAAATTATTGTCACAAAACTTTAAAAACATTATACGTACGTACGTACGTACGTATGCAACTGCAGTTCTCGTTCTTTATTATTTATGGCTCATTCCTTTGTTAAATTCTATGTAATAAAGCCAAGCTCACGCGTAGTGAGAGATATATACACTTTAAAAATAGATCCTTTGCAGGTTCTGTGTTCTTGCTCTGCTCCGTGATTTATTGACTCTTTTTTTTGTCTTCTCAAGGCGTATTTAGATAAAAACCATTCTCCCATAAAGAGAGACAGAGACAAGAAGAAGAAACAAAAGCATTGGTCTTTAGTTACTTAACTTTGTCACATCCCTTCTGTAAGAAATATTGCGAGGGAGACTGTTCATATTCTATGTTCTCGTGTTCGTATGACATAACAAAATTTGTCTTTAGGGTTCTGTCTTTTTTTTTGCGATAATGTCTAGAGAGTGTTTACTAGATTACTATTATTAAATACTCTGTTTTGAGTTTTGGTTTTTTATCTCTTAACCACCATGCAAAGAGTACACAACAAACCAGTTGATTCCATCGGAAAATCTCCGTCCGCCACCGTTAAGCAACATTTAACAAAACAGAGCAACGGCGGAGTAACGACGGAAGCGGCGGATATGAAGGAACCGAGCATTGACACAGATAAGCTCAGCTACGAGATTTTCTCCATTCTTGAAAGCAAGTTTCTTTTCGGGTACGATGAGCAAGAAACGTCACCGACGGTTGCTGAGCCTGTAAACGGCGTCGTTCCGGGATCAATCAAGAACCAGAGAGGCAAAGTCTGTGTTTTGAGCATCGACGGAGGCGGGATGAGAGGGATCATACCGGGAAAGGCTTTAGCTTATCTGGAGAAAGCGTTGAAAACCAAGTCGGGTGACCCGAACGCCCGAATCGCCGACTACTTCGACGTAGCTTCCGGTTCCGGTATCGGTGGAGTCTTCACGGCGATGCTTTTCTCTTCGAGCGATGGTGACCGTCCGATCTTTAATGCGGACGACACGTGGAGGTTCCTAGTTAAAAACGGTAAAAGTTTTTATAAACCAACGTCCGGTACCGGGAGGTTACTAAACCGGGTGATGAAAACCGGTTCGGGTTCTAAGCTAGAGAAATCGATGAAGGAGACATTCGCTGAGCTGACACTCAAGGACACGCTTAAACCGGTTCTGATTCCTTGTTACGACCTCGCGAGCTCCGCGCCGTTCCTTTTCTCACGCGCCGACGCGTTGGAAACGGACGGCTACGATTTTAAACTACGGGAGGTTTGTAGAGCCACGTGGGCCGAGCCGGGAGTGTTTGGGCCTGTGGAGATGAGATCAGTGGATGGTAAAACGCGTTGCGTTGCGGTTGATGGTGGACTAGCGATGAGTAATCCCACGGCTGCTGCGATCACTCACGTGTTGCACAACAAGGAAGAGTTTCCTTTCGTTAGAGGCGTTGAGGATTTGCTTGTGTTGTCTCTTGGTACGGGACAGTTGGTGGATGTTAAGTATGAATGTGATAAGGTTATGAAATGGAAGGCTAAGCAATGGGCTCGACCCGCGGTTCGGATATCTGCTGATGGTGCGGCTGATACTGTGGACCAGGCGGTTTCCATGGCGTTTGGTCAGTGTAGGAGGAGTAACTATGTTCGTATTCAGGTAAAACATTATGTGGTTATTGTAATTCATGTCATTGATAAGGTTTTGATTGGTAACCAAAGCCGATTATAGATACACAAAAGTGATGCATTGGTCTATAGTCTCTAAATTTTAATGAAATTTTCAATTTCTAAATTTTTGTAGATAAATTTATATAAACATAGGTGTCAAAATTGTAAAAAAAAAAAAGTTAACTAATATTTTTAAACTAAATTCTTTATAGTTCTAAAATTCTAAAAAAGGTAGTCTTAATAACATTCAGTAATGGCGAAAAGGTGATACTAAAAACCTTGAATATGATCAAGAATGGTTAATGCATTATATAGATCATGAAAGTTGAATCTTGATATTAATGCTAGAATCATTACTTTGTGATTTAATAGGCGGATGGGTCAAGGTTTGGTCCGTGTAGACCAAACATAGACACGGACGCTAGTCCAAGCAATGTGAATATGCTTGTGGGAGTAGCGGAAGAGATGTTGAAGCAGAAGCACGTTGAATCGGTTATGTTTGGTGGTAAGAAAATCAGTGAAGAAAGTAATTTCGAGAAGCTGGATTGGTTAGCCGGTGAGCTTGTGCTTGAACACCAGAGGAGGAGTTACAGAATCGCTCCCACTGTAGCGTTCAAACAATCAAGCGACAGAAGAATTGTTCAGAAGACTATCTTCAAGGATATTGATTGCATGTTTTGAAGATGTTCTTTTCTTAATTTGTATAGATTAATGTTTTGACTTTTTGAGTTCAGAGAAGAAAGCGAAACATCTTCTTCGAAAAGGTTTCATTCTTGTCCATTCTAGTAGTGTGTGTGATTTTTGCTCAATTTGATTGGAGACAAGATATCCTTTTGTAATGATTTGATGTAAACGTAAGTTTAGAGATGTGAACTTGGGAGCGTGATGAATATAACGTTTCAAGAAGCTGTTATGAAGAAGTCGCTTTCTTGATTTACAATAATTATTACTTTGTTTGTCCAACTGTAGTTATACATTTTCTTGTTTTTAATCAACCATCAATCAGAATTTATAAACGCTTAATAAGTTAAATTATTATTGATTAACAATAGTAAACGCATTTGAGTTTGGAACATCTTATTTCATGAATAAATAAGACATTATATAAGAACTAATAATAATTTAGAACATGTTTTAAGAATCACAATTAAATATATTAATATATACACATCTATATGTATTTTGAGATCTCCATTGGGCTTATTTTACATCGACGGTGATTACACTCTCTACACCTAATTGTTTTTTTTTGTGCTAAAACACCTAATTGTTTGTTGCCTATGCATTTTTGAATAAAAATATTACTGTACTTCAGTTTACTATGTGTACTGGGAAACTTATACTCTAGTTTGCAATATGAATGTGTCGAGAACAAACGTGAATAAATTCGGAAAAAAATAAAGAGTAAAATAATTGAAACAAATATCCGTTTTAGGGTGTATATTATTGTATGAATGAATAACTTTATAATTTTTTAAACTCATATTTATAGTAATCTCAAAATTTAATTTTCTTTTCCCTATAAAAATACATACTTATTTATAGAAAGTAAATTTTCCTAAACTAAAAGGCATACCATATCGCGAGTGTCGACTTTGATAGCGTCTACGATATTTTTGGTCAGATTATGTCCGATCTACCGAATGCTGAAATTTTACTGGTGAACAGAGATTTAAGACACAATCATTCAGATATAAAGATTGTTTGCCAAATATATAGAGTTAACGTAGATTTTTTTTTTTTTTGTTCAACAGGATACTTTAGATAAATAAAAGGCCAAGGCCCAAAGGTGTTAGGATATAAGATCGATGGAGTTAAAATAGATATACTACACAAATACCAGTGATGCATTCCAATGTAGTCCACCCACCTAATAGGGATCGATCTTCATGAATATATAATGTTTATGATACCACAAATTTAATTCTTATCCCTCTTTTCTTCTCCATGCTACCATAGACCAAAAATTTCAAATTTGTCGACGTCCTGTTTTTAAGAACACCTTTAGTGAGAATTTCAACTTAAGAACAACTTCATTGAAAGTTAAGTATGGATGTCTCACAAAACATAAAAATAATGATATGATATCTCGAATGTTGAAAATTAAATTATTTTATTTCAGATAATTACTTACTTCTACATAGCTTTTTGTTACTTTTTATGAGATTCTTATTATATGTCCAGAACCTTTTAATAAAGGATTTTTGAAAAAAAATATTTCATGCGTAATATACATAAAAATTTATATTTAATTGCCAATATCTTAAAATTACTAGAAATCATTTATGATATTTTGAAATAGTTTTCACAATTTCTAAATAACCACACTAATATTTTATTAGTATATATATGTAGTTTATTTTATTATATTTTGTAACGCTCCTCATTAATGATATTTATTACCAGAAAATCATTGACTCCATAAATTGGATATATTTCTATTTTCTGTAATATGAAATCTACATAAATAATGTTACAAACAAAAAAAAAAGAGAAAGAAAGAAATCTACATAAATATTAAAGTTCCACCAGGATGAAGCATACTTCTCATTCCAAATCCCTCCCAAAACTCTAAAGTCAAGGTCAACAACAAAGGTCTTCGCTCTCTCTCTATCTCTATCTCTATCTCTATCTCTTCTCTCTATTTCCTTTCACACACACTTCGTGGCTAATATATTCCAACCAGAGCAACACCTTAAAAGCATCCCCTCTCGAACACATACTTCTCTCCTAGTACCAAACCAAGAAACCTAAAATGAAGAGCTTAGCCATCCAAATCCTAACAGGAAGATGGTTTATGTTCTTCGCAAGTCTCTTAATCATGTCGATGGCTGGAGCCACTTACATGTTCGGTCTCTACTCAAGTGAGATCAAGACGACCTTAGGCTACGACCAAACCACTCTTAACCTCCTCAGTTTCTTCAAAGATCTTGGAGCCAACGTCGGTGTCATCGCGGGTCTACTCAACGAGGTGACTCCTCCTTGGTTCACTCTCATAATCGGAGCTATACTTAACTTCTTCGGTTATTTCATGATTTGGCTTGCCGTTACGAAACGGATCTCGAAGCCTAAAGTTTGGCACATGTGTCTCTACATCTGCGTTGGAGCTAACTCACAGTCTTTCGCTAATACGGGATCCATCGTCACGTGTGTCAAGAACTTCCCGGAGTCACGTGGTGTTGTCTTGGGGATTCTCAAGGGTTATGTTGGTCTTAGTGGTGCTATTATTACACAGCTCTACCATGCCTTTTATGGTGACGACACCAAATCTCTAATCTTGATGATTGGTAAGTAAATGTTTTTAATATTTTCATGAAAACGATATGGTCAATGAAAAGAAACAGAGAAAAACAGAGGTCAATGATATTTATTACTCTCTAATTTTCGAATTAATTGTCATTTTAGAGAAAAAAAATTATTTTAAAATAAGTGTTGTTTTAAAGTTTTTGAGTTAAAATTTATTAGTTTTATATAATATATATTTTTCTATTGATTGAAAAATAGTTAGATATATAGATATTTGTGTTTTTATCTTGAAAATATGTAAAACTAAATGTTTTTTTAATCTGTGTGTAAAAACTCAGAATAACAAATAAAGTGAAACCAAAGGAGTATATGAATCTTGAATATCCTTCCATCGATATAGTATAGTCTGATCATGTGCCGTTTATAACGATTTTTAATTATTTTAGAATAATCGTTGTTTTGACTAATTTGTAGTCTAAATGAATATTAGTTTATAAAGATTTTTAGAGCATTGGAAAAACATTTATTATTGAGTTTTTTTTGTTTTTACTAATGAATGAAATTTTGGATTGTAAACAATACTTAATGTATGAGTTATTATTGTATTTACAGGTTGGTTACCTGCAGTAATCTCATTTGCTTTCTTGAGGACGGTAAGGATTATGAAAGTGGAGAGACAGACCAATGAGCTAAAGGTGTTTTATAACTTCCTCTACGTATCGTTCGTGTTAGCGACGTTTCTCATGGCGGTCATCATTGCTGACAAACTCTCCGGCTTTACAAGAACTCAGTTCGGAGGTAGCGCCGCCGTGGTGATCGTCTTGCTACTTTTGCCGATCATAGTAGTCGTCTTTGAAGAAAAGAAGCTCTGGAAAGATAAACAAGTCGCCTTAAACGATCCAGCACCAATCAATATCGTCACGGAGAAAGCAAGCTTAGATTCATTAGAGGTTAAAGATGATAATCAAAGGTCAAAGAAAGCTAAAACGGCGTCGTGTTGGACGACGATATTTAGTCCACCGGAGAGAGGAGATGACTATACGATCTTGCAAGCGTTGTTTAGCCTCGACATGTTTATATTATTCTTAGCGACCATATGTGGTGCGGGAGGGACGTTGACGGCGATAGACAACTTGGGTCAAATAGGTGGCTCATTAGGTTATCCAAAGAGGAGTGTGAGCACGTTTGTGTCACTAGTTAGCATATGGAACTACTTTGGTCGTGTGACTTCAGGTGTGGTCTCGGAGATTTTCTTGATTAAATACAAGTTTCCAAGACCTATAATGCTCACAATGATCCTCCTCTTCTCATGCACCGGTCACCTCCTAATCGCTTTTAACGTACCTGGTGGACTCTACGTTGCATCGGTCATCATAGGGTTTTGTTTTGGTGCGCAATGGCCGCTTCTGTTCGCTATCATCTCTGAGGTTTTCGGGCTTAAGTACTACTCTACGTTGATTAACTTTGGATCGGTCGCAAGCCCTATCGGGGCTTACTTGCTAAACGTCCGGATCGCGGGGTATTTGTACGATAAGGAGGCTGAGAAGCAACATAAAGCATTAGGGATAGAGAGACATGAGGGGCAAGATCTGAACTGCATGGGAACGGCTTGTTTTAAGTTGTCGTTTATTATAATTACTGTGGTAACTTTGTTTGGTGTGTTGGTCTCGATGGTTTTGGTGGTCCGGACCAAGAAGTTTTACAAGAGTGATATCTACAAAAGGTTTAGAGAAAAAGCGTTGGCGGCTGAGATGGAGATGGCAGGGCATGCTCCGGTCAAATCGACGGTGGTAGAGAATGATAATGTTAGTGGTAAAGTAGTTGGCAAAGGAGGGTAAAGTTGCTTAGTAGATGATGTAAAATATACTAAACAAGAAGTATTTTGTAAACATGTTATATGTTCCATGTCCTTGGTCCATCACACGTTCACACCTTTCTTCTAGAGCTACTACACTTTATTTGATGTTTTCGTCGTTTTGTACCTTTGGAGTGTTGGAAAGTAGTGAAAGTTAAGAGTTTGGAGATAGGTAAGAGTCATCATGAGTCAACAAGTGAATTGGACTTGTGGTTTTATGAGGCTACAAGGGACTGCTTCGAAATAAGCCATTTAAAAGATAAAGAACTAAATTATTGCAAGTGTGAAAGTTGGCTCACGTGTGTTGGTACGACTTGGACTTTCATGTCGGTCTACATTTTACGTAATGTGAATACAGAACGAGTGCGTCACAATGAGATGTGGAAAGTTGGAAGGTAAACGTTTAAAAACAAATTGTTTTGGAAACGTGCATCATTTAGAAAAAATGTAGAGTACTGGAAAATTAAAGTCTCAAACTTTAAGTTAGTGGGTAGTACTAGATTTAAAAAGATACACTCGTGAAAAAGTGTCACGCTTGTGTAGTGGATAAGCAATTATGTAGTGTATGAAGAATCAACAAAGCAACTGACTGTTAGAAAGTCTTCTCGAAATATTAGTTTAGGATGACCCAAAACTATTTGTAGAGAAATGGTATATCAAATGAGTTATCAACAAGGAATTAGCCTAGAGGCTAGAAAAATTTAGAGTATATAGTAAATGTCTAAAAAGTCATAGATTTCAAGTTTTATGGAAGAAATCTCTTCTCTAAAAGAGAATGAACCGATCTACGGATTTCGTCTTACAAGTATGTACATACCTACGTATCTAGAACCTCATAATTTAAAAATAAAATAAAACAAACATCAAACATATTTTCTTATGAACAATAAAATTATAAACCTTTCACGTAATTTCTCTCAAGGGGTTAGTTTGTAAAACATAATATCATGTTATAGGTGTAAATCATCTTTCTTAAATACAATTAATTTAATGATAATGCATAATCATCAAAACCATTATATCACCCACCCACTTAAATCAATTTACCATATTTTATAGTTTGTTTTCCTAAATTACCACCCAACATTAGTTGATGGTCGAAGGAAGAAAGACATGATCTTGGAGATAATGTATTAGAGTCTTTTAGTGAAAGACCGTGCGATTCTGTAAGAATTTGTTGTCTTTCTCCTATACGTAGTGGAGAGATAGTTGTATAATACATGGTTAAAATATGGTAGCCTGGTTAGAGGGCGGGTCCTAAAATATATAAGGCTGCAGACTAATTTTTTTTAATTTTCAAAACTGGAATTGCAATCTCCTAGATTCATAAATATTTAAGTTACCACTAAATTAACAAAATACTTTAGAAAATCGGACTGGAAATTCGGCTTACAAAGTGCAAGGCCGCGAGCATGGGCGTCACCTGTTTGGACTCAAGGCCCAGTCGTCTAGTTGTTAGGTGGTTGACAAGGATTTATTAATCATAGTGATGATAAGCGACCGATTGCAATATGTTTTCCATGCGGCAGCTTGGGGTTTGGACTTTGCAGGATATCTTTAGTCCATTAACATATGCTCATATGGAAATCCAGATCAATGAAATAAACTCAAATACTTAATTTGTAAATTGATAAAACCATACAAAAACCAATTGCGTTATCCCAACTTTCCAAGGATGAATCATTACCAATCGGATTACAATGAACGAACCACGTTATAGTTGTTAGTTCATCTTTTATCGCAGATTCGTATGGTCCCTGTTTCGAAATGACAAATCTGTTACATTTGGGGTTTAGACATCCTTAGCTTTCTACTTACACTCACAATGTAAACTCAATCTTGTCGACCAAAATTTGTCTTTTAACCATAGAACATAACTCAACATTAGCCGGATGAAGACCAAGAGAATAACTCTCGTTTTATCTTTGAAATTTGGATCGTTTAATTGAGTTATCTGAAAGAATCAATCGCATCGATCTCGCAATGCACATGATTTGATTGCAGTCTCACTGTGAAATCAAAGTGCCATAAAATGCATCATAAAACATGCTAGTGATGTGTAAGAGTAAAATGGTATGTCTCTATAAGTATACAGATTTAATTTTACTGAGGAATACAGTATAACATTCCTCTAGTTCAGTTCAGTTGAATTTTAAGTAATGTCATTATGTATTAAGTATTAACTTTTATAGAGAACAATAAAAGAAAATTTTCCTAACTTAAACCGGTTTACATCCAAAGTTTGCAGCCCAGTTTTACTTTGTCTATGGAATCGAAAATTATCAAACTGACACTAGATAGATTGACATCACTACATACTACTTATACTCCATATATATCGACACTGGATGGTTGATCAAAAAATAAAAAAGATCGACACTGGATCAAAAAGATAGCATCAGTCTTGTATGTAAAATACACACATGTAGATCGACAACTGTCTAATTATATAATTAGTATTCAAATTAAAAGCTAATTGAAAAGTGGAATTAACTTTTGTTAGAAATGCTGAGGCGTGGCTCTCGGTTGTTGAAACTCTTTATTGACCTACTTTGACTGATATATTAGAAAAATATATTCATCATTCTCTAATGCCCAATCACAGGAGATATAGGGACTAGTGTGGTCCATCCCTTATCATTATTATAAACACCTTTTCTTTATTAATGATTCCTAAAAATATTTGTTGATTATAGAAAAAAAAAAGCTGATTCCCAAAGCAAAATAAACAAAAAACATTATTTATTTCTATTGTCCTTTCATCATTAGCTTGCTACACATGATGTGTAGTCCCAATATTAAACTCTGTACGTGTAACTTTCGTAAGATGAATAGATGTTCAGTGAAGTGATATACTACACGTCTTTCTAACGAATATTTGACTAACTGGCCAAATCAAATAAATAAATAACTGAGACTACAAAGAGTACTATAATTGGTACGCATAAATTTTAAGTGATCTTTTTTCTTAAACTAAAACATTGTCTCTACATTCTCTGAATAAATAAATTGCTATATTAAGATAGAAATTTTAAGTGTAAGAAAAAAAAATAAGTGAAGGAAAAGAAATAGAAAAGGTTAGTCTATAGACATTGTCATGTTTGTTTGTGTCAAGAGGCTCACGCGTGGTTGGATAGATGCTTGGAATAATTACAGGCGGCATCAAGCTCATCCTTCCCTAGGGTTTTTCTTAGAATTTAGTAACATTTGATTTTTCGTACTTATTATTTCAGGTGTATCATGCAATGTAGTTAGAAAGAGAAAATTAGTTATAGTTGGACATAGATCAAGAGAAATGACTATTGTTAATGAAGTCTCTTTATAATGTTTGTAGCATTTTCTTCTGAAACTCTCTTATAAAAGAGTATTTGAATTTATTCCAATAGCTTCAGTTGATCCAGGATTGTAAATATAGCTGTAATAAACAATATTTTGGGAGAAGGGACTTGAGAGAAACATATTTTCATAAGTAAAGTAAGTAAAGATCAAAATAGCTACTATCAAATTAAATTCTTGAGCCTCTCTCACCTAATTTGTCTATATCATTATTACAGAACTACTCCATGTCTGTGGTAACTTTCAATGTAAAATCAAGACACCAGATGCAATCATTGCAGCAATAAATCAGAAATGTGTGATGCAGCTTACTGCATGTGTAGACAATTGTGCGACTGATACCACAATTTAATAAATACAGAAAAAGTGATAAGGTTTACAAAATGAAGAACAAATTATACACATATACAAACAGATTTTAAAGATCGATATGATTGAAACGATACAAAACCATCAGAACCGTACGGAAATGTAATAATTAGCTATCGAAATGATTAACCATTTCCTTTAGAAAAAAACAAGGAGCTACGTTGATGTGAACGCAGCAGGAATCCTCGTAAGAAGTGCTGTGACGACATGACATAAATTTGTACTAGAAAAATACGAAACGAAAGACAAAAACGGGATCAGAGCTCACCAAAATATCTATGAGTGGAATATATTGGTGTCCACAAGAAGAAGCATGTGTATATGGTTTAGTGAAGGACCTTGTAATCTTCCATACATGATTGGATAACAAACTCAACACAATTTGACTGGTACCATAAAATAATATCATAACACTTCTATAAAAAAGTATGTAGTGTATATGTATATGAAAATATGCATGGCTCCTCATACGCCATTCACGGAGGTCGTCGATGGTCGATGAGCTTAGTGTATGGCATACAGGGAGCCAGGCATACACACCTTATACAACAACACCTTATGCATCTATGTATGTGTCATGATCGAAATCTATGCTATTATGTATTGAAACTAATTGCCCAAAGCATATGTCTATTCTATTTTAAGTAAGTTATCTAGATCTACACCTGGACATGCATGAGCAGATATAAACAATAAATATGGAGGAATAGAGGAAATCTAAAGCATGGATCGAGATCTGCATGTACGAAAATGGAATTGATGAGATCTTTTTTGTTCTCTCTCTCTTTCTCTCTCCTCGGGAAGAATTGAGGATACTGTTCTTGAAGCCCTAAATGAAGATTTGTTGAAAAGACAAAAAAGAAGATGAGAATCAACAAACAAGATATGGGGGGTGAGATTGGGGATCCAGAGAAACAGAGAGATACTGAAGGTGATTGAGAGAGGTGGAGAAATGGTTTATATAAAACAATTAAGGATGGGAAGAGAGAGAGATGCAGATGTATGTATATGCAGATATACACATACATATATGTAGACAAGAGGCACACAAATTAAAGAAGAGATGTTTGGGTCAAAAAGATTAAAAAATAACACATGAAAAAAGATTAAAAGGAACAAAGGGAAAAAGGAAGACCCACAAGAAACCCTAAGGAAAGGGCAAGAAAGAAGGGGTAAAGGCAAAAAGCTAAACTTAGGGCATAAATATTTATTTTTGGTTAATTGTTTAGTCTTTTGAGAGTGAAACAAGGATTACTTGTGGGGTTGCTTTTGCGTCTCATCCTCTCACCACCTCACTAAATATAGACATCATTACACATCACCATCCAGATCACACATGCATGAGCGCATGAGAGATATCATCATGGTGGTGGGTATGATTAAGTGAGAAGGACATAATTAAAGAGAGAGGAGAGAGAAAATTATTAAGAACCCTAAAAGAGGAGAGAGTGGGTTCGAAATCTCCTTTTCTGAGTCTGGTGGTCTTAAAAAGCTAAAGGTTTCTTTTCTCTTCTCTGAATCTCATTTTGTCTGCAAGTGCTTGGATACACACGGATTCCTCCATCACCTCTACCTTTTTCGACACTATCATTTTTATTATTATCATTTCAATTCCTAATATATATATATATATATATATATATTCAATTTCTTTTGATAAAGAACAAAAATAAAAATAAATATATATTCAATTTGTTAGTCTCTTCTATTTTAGTTTCTTTCATATATTGGTTATATACATATTTGTTTTACATTTAAAGATCTATTATTAACGTGGAATATGGTACACCTCATATTTGTTGTCCACTGTAATAATGTAACAACAAACTATGAAAGGAAAGGTGACGACCCATAATCTTGCAACTAATTGTTTATAATATACACTACTAAAAATATGTACAAGTATTATACTATTATTTAGTGAGAGGACATTGCCTCAAGAAAGTATGGAGAGAAGGGAACTAATTGTTTAAACTTTAAACTAAGATTCTTTCTTTGACTCTTCTGTTTAGGCCAAGGAACAATCCATAGTGTTTACTACCTAATCCTTGCTGTACTTTTGTCTACCCACCAATTATCACATGTCTTTATAAATATATATAGATATATTTTTTTTTTTTGTCAACAAACGGCTAAATATATAAAGATATATATGCATGCGCAAACACCCTTAATTATATATTTTCATATTTCTTGTATGTTTCTCTGTGTGTTGTAAGTAGATATATTCGCTCACACGTATCTATGGAATAAACAAAAAAATAATGGTAAGATTGTGGACCATCTGCATCGGTTGAATTCTGTGAATCTTTTTTTTCGTAACAGTATTCTCTGAATCTATTTTCTCAAATATTTGGTTCTAGTAAATAAGTTGCATTCAAACAAAAGGGGAAGGAAAAAAAGTTACATTCATATTAGAAGTCAATTGTACTAGCTAGTGTGTACATCATTCTAAGGACTTGGGAATTATATTAGATTTCGTGCAAATTAACCACATATATTCTTCTCGAGATATTTGTTGATGTCATGCGATGTGAATGGCTGCCTCTTCTAGTATGATTGTTATACAGTAAAAGCATTAATCGACATAATAATTAAACATGAAAACATAACCCTAATGGAACACTTTAAAATGTAAATACACATGGGATAACCGCGTGTCACTTTGTGTATTGTTAACATAAAAGTATTATACAGGTAAAAAAATGAACCCAAATGATAAGAGTTCAAACAAGTAATATTATCAACACAAATGATAGAATCTAACATTCCAAGTAAAATGCAGTTTAATGAAACAAAACCTTGAAGCTCCCTTGAACTGATCAAACGTCTAATACATCAAATTATTGATCTCTAGTTTCTAGGCTTGTCTGAAAGCCGTGAATAGCACAAGTCTTTCTGTCATGAAAGGCGAACGAACAGAGTTTAGAGCTTTTGATGCCATTAAGACATCACTTTCAAATAACTCTCTATAGATGGGATTGGTGGTATAAGTCTCTCCATAAAAACAAAAACTGGTGGGAGCAGTTTGGTGGTCCACGCATTAGTTAATCTCTCAAAGCATACAATGTAATTATAACTGCTTAACGCAGGATAAACAATCACCATAATTAGCACATTAGATGCCAACTAATTAATCCACGCATGCTATTTTTTTGGGACAAACCACGCATGCTAGTTATTTAATATAAAAATTGTAGTTCAAAAAGATTGTTTTTATATAAATTTAAATTGGTTCTTAAACCAAGTTATTTTCGACCATAATCGTGACTTCTCTAACTTCTAATTGGATGATTAACCCAAACTCGCAATATGTCGAGTTTAGTTATGAGATTTTCTCCTTCCATTTTTCATATTTCCAATAGTTTTAATTTTAGCTTTCAATTATTTTACTTTTAATTCATGTGTCTCCATCTTTTTGTTTTGCAAATGAAAATTGATTGTTAAATATCTAATAATTAAGGTGATATTACACATTTTCAGTTCATACATTCTTATAATTGGTTGATTTACGGTTAAGCATATAAATGCATAGCTACTATGTCACAATGACTTCAAGAATAAATAGACAAAATCAATGGATGGTAGAAAATCAACGCATGTGCAGCCAGTAATTTGGATCAAGATAGAAAATATAATCACACATATTTTTATCTTTTAAAATATTTTTTTCTTGTACAGTGTAATTATATACACAAATTTGTCAGAAAATATACGTGAGTTGCTGTAATCAATGACCGGGGAAATATTCGTTTAAATATTAAATAAGATGTTTATAATGTTTATAAATTATAACGGCATATAATCAGGATTGAATAGTGTAACCCAATATTTATAAGCGTAGAAGCTGATCAGGGGTGGACACATATCGAATAATATCATAATTTTGGTATTTGTGATTTGTTTCGTATTTTATGAATATCTGAATTTTCTAATTTTTTTTTTCTATAAAATATCGATATATCCGATTTTTTTCAAATATTTATGAAAATTATAGATACTTACGTATATCTCATGCATTTTGTATGATACAAGTAAAATTAAAATAAATAATAAAAAAATTCCAAAAATATCTTTAAATTTTTAATTTTTATAAAGATTTGATATTCATTTCTTAGTTTAATACTTTTATAAGTAATTTTATAAATAAATTTAATAAAATGATAATTTAAAATAATAATTACATAAATTATACATTTAAAACTATATTTAGTCATATATATACACATCGATATATGTATAAGTGTCGGAGTGGATAGATTTTTGGCTCTAATTTTTTTAATATTTATGATTTGTTTTGTTTTTAATGGATATTAATTTTTAATATTTTCTTTATTTTACGAGTATCTAAAATTTTCAGATCTAATTGAAATGAATCAAATTTGATTTAATCGATAAAATGTCCAGAATCCTGAGGATTAGTGGTCAGATCACTTCAACAGAATATATATAAATTATTCATTTCCAAATTAAAAACAAGAGAGTATGTGCAATGGATGGTTAAAAGTAGGCTTGAAATACGTTTTAATGACCCTACTAGCTCAGGCTTTAACTTAATTTTGACCCCTTTTTGACCTTTTATTGGCCCATAATGCGATGCCAACTTTTTAAGTCGACACGACTATTTAAATATTCGTTTGTGTTTAGCTTACTGGTTCTTTCCTTTTTGTATTTTAGTTAAGGATAAGAAGTTCTCTAGAATGTCACAAAGAGGTTCCTCTTCACAAATAAGACATCATAGTAACTTAGATTTGATCCCAAAAAAAAAAAAAAAAAGACATCACAGTAATTGTGATTAGTCAATGTTCATCCATAGCTATTTTCAAGGCTCTGTTCATCTTCTCTTAGATCGCTTGTGGATGCTAGTCTGCATTAGCTGAGATACATCATCTAAGGGCACACTTAAGAATGATGTGTAGCTGAAAATTTGATTTTGCTTTTATTTTGTCTTAATGACACTGTTCTGATAGTTTTGTCTTGGTGTGTGCTAGGTTCTCTTTGTTACTCTGATTTTAGAGAGACCCTAGAATATTTGCATTTGGAGCTTTTTTTTTCTCAGAATGCATTGAATTCTCTCTGTTCATGTTTTTCAGAGATAAACGAGGGCTTAGCTAAGATGATAAAGTACATTGTAAACGAACTCTCTGTGGGGTTTTTACTACATCAAGTCACGCAGCACGCAATGTACTTAACCTCCACACCAAGTTTTGGACATGTCTCGTGAAACAGTTCTTCATACTGAAGACTCAGAAGATTCTATAGCCATGATGAGAGATCAATGAAAGAGTGATTCATCTATTGCTGATTAGATGGTAAGAGACATCAAGAATTCCTTAGAGATAATGTCTTCGAGGAGAGAGCTGATTCACAGCTGCCGGGGGGATCCCCTGGAGAAGCAGATTCATCAGTATAACATTAACAACAACATGATAATAGCGAAAGCAGCAAGCTACTTCAGAACCGTGTTTAAGTCAGCTCAACAGAAAGCAAGCAACATCAAATGGCCACACCCACGGATGGACTCTAGCCTCAATATGGAAATCAATGAGCTGGAAGAAGTCTTAAGTAAAGGTGAACATATGGTGGAGACGACAAAGTTCGAGGAGTTTAAGGCTGGTAAAGAATCGAGTCTCAGTCATGGCTTGGAGATATGAATGGGAGTGCAAATACTGGTGGAGTTGTGGTAGCTTAGACATTAGGAGACACATGACCACACTAGAGGTTGAAGAACAAAAAAAAACAATTCTGCAGTCACTACACCAGTCTTTCCTAAACATATGTAACCCCAACAAATCTCCAATCTCTAGTTTCTTTCTCAAATTGAAAACTAACAATTAATAACCATAAATCAAACTATGAGCCGTAATAATTGTTCCTAATCATATGAGAAAACAAAGATAAAAAGAAATCCAAAAGGTAGGCAGAAATGTACATCTGTAACTTCAACTCTTCCAACCCATTGCCTTTAGCTCGCTCTGCTTCAATTCCACATGCTTCCCTAGCCTGTGGGAAGATGAATAACATATGATCACATATCCTACACTGGATTACTATAGCTGTCTAATGAAAAAAATAGCTGATGCATAAGATAATTTATCTCTATACCCAATTCTATCAAACATTTTAACAACTTTCACTCAAACAACTAACAAATGGATGAGAAACTACAAAATAGAAGAGAAAACATAAGCAGCTAATACGTTAGCACCAAAACATTACCCAAGATCTGAAGGAAGCCTAAATCCACCTATACGGACACGCTTTAGTGAGTAAACCTGGAGCAAGTAAAGGCAAAAACAATTACGTATGGGTTTAGATATATCACTTGCAACAGATAAAATTACTTTTATTGAAAGTCAGTATTAGAGCGAAAGTAAAACTAACCTCAAGCCCAGCATTTTTCACTAATTCTCTGACTTCATGGTTCCTCCCTTCATGAACCTGCATGTGTCCATACAAACAAGTTAATTCGGCTGAAAAAAAAAATCCACGCAACCAACATCAATAGGTTAGGTAATGTAACGTATTTGATTTATTAAGTCAAAAGGTGTCAGATCAAATGTAAAAATCTGAGAAAGGTTTGGACAAAATACCACAATACGTAACCGTGCTCTTGGTATATCATGCTGCTTTGGCATCAACTCAACTGAATCTGGGACACAGTGGACTCCTTCCACAACTGTCCCTTCGCTGATGGCCATTAAGTGCCTTTTGTGTACATCACCGGCAACCGTAGTAATATATCTGCAATTTCACAAAAACAGAAAATTAGAAAAGGGTAAACACACAAAAACCAAACCATTGAACTATAAGGAAAGAATTATTGCTTGAGTAAATACAACTTAAGTGGATCAAAAGCGTCAAACCACAACATCTGGAATCGGTGATCACTATCACCGCTAAACCTCACAAAATAACTCTGCAACGAGCATCTATCTACCTATAGTGCATTTTCATTAAGAAAGTAAGAAGTATCTGAAATGAACTATATCCCCTCTTAGTCATAGTCAACCAAAGGTTCAGCAAACAAATGATTATCACCTAACTAATCATGAGTAGCAACGGTATGTAAAAAGGAATATGAGAGTCGAGCTCACTCTTTTGGTAAACTAGATGACGGATGTGAAAGTTTCTGCGCAAAATCTCCTGTATAAACAAGAAGTTGAATTTCCTTTTAGAAGAGAAACATAGTTCACTGAAACAAAATGTAGAAACCAAGATACATAACAACACATGGTGCCAAGTGAATACAACTTACCATCATTTGTAACTATAATCAACCCTGTCGTTGCAACATCAAGACGACCAACAGTGAAAAGACGAGGTTTGGGAGTCCCTGGATTCCTTTTGTCCTAAAATCACAAAGACTTCATGTTCAGAAAAAAAAAAAGACACATAACTGTAGAGATGATTTCAGTTTTGTTTTATTACCCAACTGGACATGAACTCGTCAAACAAACTAATAACAGACTTGGTCTCTTTCTCTCCAGAAGAACATATATATCTGCCATGGTACAATCCAAACAACATAAACAAAAGTCACAAGTCTGTTAAAAAAAAAAAACAAAAAGAGTAAACAAGTTATGAAGACGAACCCTTTAGGCTTGTTGAGAGCAAAATAAACCTTTGGAGGAAGCTTCTTAGGAACACGATTCCCATTAACATAAATAATATCCCTCGTTGGATCAACACGAGTCTACAACATAAAACAAAAAATACTAACTTTTTTTTAATCATAATCACCTTCCCTCAATCACAAAAAAAAAGGATTGATTATTTTTTATTTTAACCTGTGGAGTATTACAAACAGAGCCATTAACAGTAACCTTNAGGAAGCTTCTTAGGAACACGATTCCCATTAACATAAATAATATCCCTCGTTGGATCAACACGAGTCTACAACATAAAACAAAAAATACTAACTTTTTTTTAATCATAATCACCTTCCCTCAATCACAAAAAAAAAGGATTGATTATTTTTTATTTTAACCTGTGGAGTATTACAAACAGAGCCATTAACAGTAACCTTCCCAGCAAAAATAAGCTCTTCAGAGGTTCTTCTCGACGCCACTAAAACAAAAGAATCAATTTTTTTGTAAGAAACACACAAATGGAGATAAATTGAGGAGAGTTAGATGAATCATACCGGTTGGTTATCAATGGTTTAAAAGTTAGTTATAAAGAGAGCATTTACATACAGGACTAAAATAACCGGTTGTAACTAACTTTTAAACCATTGATAATCCAATTATCAATGGTTTAAAAGTTAGTTATAAAGAGAGCATTGACATATAGGATTAAAAGAACCGGTTGTAACTAACATTTAAACCATTGATAACCAAATCATAACCGGTACGATTCAATTTAAATTGGTTTGGGTTTGGTTTAGTACCTCCAGCAGCAGCGAGAACCTTGCTCAAACGCTGAGGAGGCTCTTTGATATTCTCATTGTAATACCTTCTCGCCGCCTTCGAGAGCTTCGGCTCCGACGTGGCAGTGGTCGCCGAAGAGGAGGAAGAAGAAGCAGCTTGTGGCTTCTTCTTCTTGACCTTCTTCTTAGGGTTCTGTGTGGTGGCGTCCGCTAAAGCGTGGATTAAGTGAGCGGGAGGTTGATCTTGGACTTTGAGTTTGCCGTCTTCGCCGCGGACGATCCAAGGGATGAAGAGCTGTTGGAAGGCGGAGCCGTTGTTGCGAGGGGAGGAAGGTGCGGGTTTTGGAGGAGCGAATGTGATGTCGAATTCGATGGGGTCGGAGGAGGAGGAGGAAGAGAGGGCGCAGCGGAGGGTGGGGATGGGGAGGAAGCGAGGGGAGAGAGGGAAGGGTTTGGTTCTGAGGAATGAAGCGGCGAAGGATATCGGCGATGATGCTGCTACCGACGCCATTTTCGGCGATGGGAGAAGGATAAGAGAAATACAAGTGTGGGCCTTTTCTCTACAGAGTTTGGGTTTTATCATTTACTAACAAAAAAAATATATATTTTGGACTTAGAGTTTGTGTGTTTTTTTTAAATTTTCATCATATTAATTTAATATTTTTAATCAATATTATTAAAACAGAATCATCCCAATGAATGATTAATATTTTTCTAAATTATACCGCGCGTAGGCCCAAACGGTTTTGATTTGGGCTTTTGGTTAAGTGGGCTTCTCTTATTGCTTATCTTCTTATCTCTATTACCCGGTCGAATTAAATTCTGTTCTCCTTCTTTCTCATTTGCTACAAACACCATTGACTTCCCATGCACCTTCTTAGAGCCTCCCATGCATAGGTTCGAGATGTTCTCATTCTCTTTATTCCCATCATCCCTCGCAACAACCACCGCGAGCTCCTCCGTCTCCTCCACTTCCTCCAAACTCCCAAACCGATTTGATACTCTGACTTCCTCCAGCACTCCCTCCTTTCGTGCTTCCCTTAATCTCATACCCCCCACACTTCGATCATCCTTGTTCCTCATTGTACCCCCTGAGTTTCCTTGCTGCTCGGGTCTTCTCCTCGCCTGTCTCACTTGGGTAAACTCTGTATCCCTTACTATGGGATCCGGCCTCACCTGGGGAACATTCACTAAATTAGGTACCGGTGTCTGTAAACGCTCAGTAGCATTCCGAGGACAAGAATGCACAAGGTGTCCAAACATTCCACACAATGAGCAAATAGCGGAAATCCCTTCATACGATACGTAGTACCTCTCACCATTTACCATCACTGTCCCTTTTAGAGGTTTGTTTAGGTTCACCTCCACGCATATTCTTGCATACCGAGCTCTCTCGAATTGCAGCGTTGTCAAATCCACTTTAACTGGTCGCCCTAGCCCTTTGGCTATGCCCATAAGTATCGTCTTATGGTAAAAGTTCACTGGAATATTGGATAAACGAACCCAAACTGGTGTCGTTACAATCTCATCTTTCAACGGATCAAATTCGGGAGACCACGCTTGTACCATAAGGTAGCTACCAAACGCCCTCCATGGGCCTCCTGATAGAGCAGCCATATACTCCTCTTCAAGCTCAAAACGGACCATAAAGTAATGTCTTGGGAGATCCATCACGAACATTGACCCTTTAGGCTTCCATAACTCCATGAGCTTGCGTCTCAGACTCAGAATCGGGACTTTTCTCCCCAAAACCTTAACAATCATACACCTTTTCCACAAGCTATTCATGGCTGTCAACACTTCTTCTCCTATCGTGATCACTGGTTCACCATCTTCCCCATTCGGAAACTCCAACCTTAACCTCGACTCCACGAACTCCTCATCTACAACTTCCTCCGGAACTGGTATCCCTCCTCCATTACTTCCGACTACTTTCCTCACCCATGCTCCAGGAGCGTCCGGTGGATCACCCGGCGGCCTCCCCTTCTCCCCCATATCCTCCATGGTCGCGTCTTGACCTTCCTCACCTGTCGCCCGAAATTCTCCTCTCAACTCAAGGCGAGATTGAAATGTCTGTGAGCGGAAAGAGGCTGAGAGTCGAGAAGGAGAGCGCCGGTCGTCCGGGTGGTGCTTTCGCCGGAGAAAGTGACTTACCAGAGAAAGGGAGTAATCCCGATCATGAAGGGGAACAGAGGAATGAGCAGGTGCAGATTGCTCAGAAAGAGACCTCTCAACTTGCTATATCGGAAGCCCATGTGGAGATGGTGGGAGATGCTTCGATGGCGACGGAGGCATAACGGGTTGCCCCGGTAGTTCTGACTTTAAGTTATAAAGTATTAATGAAGTGCATATTGTGGAATTGCCGGGGGGCAAATAAACCCCAATTTCGTAGATCGATTCGTTATCTGGTGAAAAAATTCAACACTGATATTCTTGCAGTCTTCGAAACTCATGCTGGTGGAGCAGCTGCGGGTAGAATTTGCCAGGGGTTGGGATTTCAAAACTCGTTTAGAATTGATGCGTGTGGTCAGAGCGGAGGTCTGTGGCTACTTTGGAGATCGGATGTAGGAGAGCTAGAGATTGTTAGTTCTTCTGACCAGTTTATTCATGCTCGAGTAGGGAGTGGGACGGAGATGATTAATTTGATCGTCGTGTATGCTGCACCTACACCGAGCCGTCGCAGTGGATTATGGACTGCTTTAGGAGGAGTGATTCAAAATGCAGTAGGGCCGGTGTTTGTAGGTGGTGACTTTAATACTATTGTAAGATTGGATGAGAGGAGCGGAGGAAATGGGAGACTCTCTGAGGATTCACTTGCTTTTGGAGATTGGATTAATGAGATGTCACTAATTGATATGGGTTTTAGTGGAAATCAGTACACTTGGAAGAGAGGTAAGAAAGAGAGTACGTTCGTCGCCAAGAGATTGGACAGAATTTTATGTTGTGCTCAGTCAAGGTTGAAGTGGCAAGAAGCGAGAGTATCGCATCTACCGTTTCTGGCCTCAGATCATGCACCGTTGTACCTACAGCTCACGCCTGAGAGCAAAGGCAATGCGTGTCGACGCCCATTCCGGTTTGAAGCGGCTTGGTTACAACACAATGAATTTAAAGATATGTTGTTAGCCTCGTGGGATAGGAATTTGGATACTAGGGAAGCTCTGGAGCGGCTGAAACTTAAACTTAAACAATGGAATAAGGAGGTGTTCGGAAATGTCCAGAAGAAGAAGGAGAATTTGGTTAAGGAGATTACGCGAGTTCAGCAGCAGATTGATCAGGCTCCAACGGAAGAGCTTTTAGTGAAAGAAGGAGAGCTACTTAGGGAGTTCGAGATAGTATTGGAACAAGAAGAGCTTATTTGGTTTCAGAAATCACGGGAGAAATGGGTTGCCCACGGAGATAGAAATACGAAGTTTTTTCACATGTCAACGATCATTAGGAGAAGGAGAAACAAAGTGGAAATGTTAAAGAACGATGAGCAGAAGTGGATCTTAGATGCAAAGGAGCTTGAAGAACTTGCGGTGAATTACTTTAAAAGATTATACTCGTTGAACGACGTTGAGAACGAGCCCCAGGAGCTTCCGAGGCGGGGATTCGTGGATATTACGAGTCAAGATCATACGCTTTTGAGTAAGAGGTTCTCAGCGGAGGAAGTGGAGAAGGCTGTCCGAGCTATGGGGAGTTATAAGGCGCCGGGACCAGATGGGTTCCAACCCGTTTTTTATCAGAGATGCTGGGAAACAGTTGGGGACTCAGTGATCAGGTTTGTTCTCCAATTTTTTGAAACTGGGAGATTACCAGAAGGAACAAATGATGCTCTTGTTGTTTTGATTCCGAAGGTGCTTAAACCAGAGAGCATTACTCAGTTTCGCCCAATCAGCCTTTGTAATGTGCTGTTTAAGGTTATCACGAAGGCTATGGTAGGGAGAATGAAGGGTATTATGAACAAGTTAATCGGCCCCGCTCAGGCTAGTTTTATACCGGGCAGACTCAGTACGGATAATATTGTAATCGTACAAGAAGCTGTTCACTCTTTGAGGAGAAAGAAGGGAAAGAAAGGATGGATGATACTCAAACTGGATTTGGAGAAAGCCTATGACCGCCTGCGCTGGGATTTTCTAGAAAACACGTTAAAGGCAGCAGGTTTATCGGATCAATGGGTTGGTAGAATAATGGAATGCGTGGCTGGCCCGGAGATGAGTATTCTATGGAACGGAGAGAAATCAAATTCGTTTAAGCCATCAAGAGGGCTTAGGCAAGGGGACCCCCTATCACCTTATCTATTCGTTCTCTGCATGGAGAGGCTTTGCCACCTGATTGATGAAGCGGTAGTGGACAAGAAGTGGAAGCCTATCAGCCTCTCGAGAGGAGGACCGAAACTTTCACATGTTTGTTTTGCTGACGACTTGATTCTTTTTGCAGAAGCCTCTGTAGCGCAAGTTAGAGTGATCAGGAAAGTATTGGAGACGTTTTGCAGAGCGTCTGGACAGAAAGTTAGCCTCCCGAAGTCAAAGATTTTCTTCTCTAGTAATGTCTCCAGAGAAAGAGGAGAACGTATTAGTCAGGAGAGCGGGATTGCATCTACAAGAGAGCTGGGGAAGTACTTGGGGATGCCGATTCTACAAAAGCGAATAAATAAAGATACGTTTGAAGAAGTCCTAGAGAAGGTGGCTACTAGACTGTCCGGCTGGAAGAAACAAACACTAAGCCTTGCAGGGAGGGTTACCCTAACTAAGGCGGTGCTATCTTCCATCCCAGTTCACCAGATGAGTATAATATGCCTTCCTGTTGGTACTCTTGAGAAACTCGATAGCCTGTCAAGGGGATTTCTTTGGGGGAGTGGTCAGCACCTAGTCTCTTGGGAGAAAATTTGCACACCGAAAGTGGAAGGAGGGCTTGGGATTAGAGCAGCGAGAGATATGAATAAGGCGTTGATCGCTAAAGTCGGATGGCGTCTATTACATGATAAGGAGAGCTTATGGGCTAGAGTCTTGCGCAGCAAGTATGTAGTAGGCGATATTCATGATCCCTCTTGGAGAGTGTTGGGAAAGACGGTCTCATCTACTTGGAGGAGCGTGGCACTAGGGATCAGGGAAGTGGTGGTGAAGGGGCATATATGGGTGGTTGGAAATGGAAGGAAAATCAAATTTTGGACTGATAGGTGGTTATCGGGTCAAGCTCTTTCGGAGAATACTATTGCTGACCTTCCAGAAGGAACCGCGAACATGACAGCGAGAGAGCTATGGGTGGATGGTGGGGCTTGGGACCTACCTAGAATAACTCCGTTTGTCAGTGAGGAGACGAGACAAGAGCTTGCGGCAGTGGTGTTAGATACTATTACTGGAGCGCAAGACCGATTGGGTTGGGGAGAGACTCCAAATGGGGAATTTTCAGTGACGTCTGCGTATAATCTGATAACTAGAGATGATACACCAAGACCATACATGGGGAGTTTTTTCGATAGGATGTGGCGAGTTGTGGCGCCCGAGAGAGTTAAAATCTTTCTTTGGCTTGTTGGTAACCAAGCTATTATGACTAACGCGGAGAGATTTAGACGACACTTGAGTGGCACAGATGTATGTCAGGTTTGTAGAGGAGGGATTGAAACCATTCTCCACGTTCTTAGAGACTGTCCGGCGATGTCGGGAATTTGGGATCGGTTTGTCCCGACGAGGAAACGACAAGCTTTTTTCTCGATGGCTTTATTTGAGTGGCTAT